ACACCCATCGGCAACCAACAACCTTCTTACCCGGTGGGAGGGGCACAAGTTTCCAAGTATGAATGTGTTCAAGAGTCTGCATCTCTGCAATCATAGCTTGTCGCCATCCAGGATGATCAAGTGTTTCATTCACATTTTTTGGAATAACAATAGAAGATACTGAAGATAAAAGGGAACAATAGGAAGGCAATAATCTGTGATAGCTAAGGAAATTATAAATGGGATGTGGGTTTCGAGTTGAACAAGTACCTTTTCTGAGAGCAATGGGTAAGCCTAAATCGCTTTCACCAGGAGTCGTGGTATCAAGGGACAAGGGGGAGCATCTGAAGTAGGGGATTCCATGTTCTTGGAAAATGGGACTATATGTCTGGGGGTTATGAATAGTTGAAGATGATGGCTCAAGAGGACTTTGATCAAGACTTTGACCAGGATTGACGGAGACATTGGAAAGATTGAACTCAACCACTGGAATAGGGAGGCCCTACTATATGACATGAACATTTTGAACAGATGGAGAGAAGTAAGGGGTCTGTTCAAAGAACGTGACATTGGCAGACACGTAATATTTTTTTGTTTCAGGAGAGTAACAACGATACCCTTTCTGAGGACGGAAAAAGCCCAAGAAGACACATTTGAGAGAGCAAGCAGAAAACTTATCTAACCCTGTAGACATGTCATGAACAAAACATACACAACCAAAAACACGAGGAGAAATGTGGAAAAGAGGATTATCTGGAAACAGAATGGAGAAAGGGACCTTATGATTGAGAGAGGATGATGACATCCAATTAATAAGAAAACATGCAGTTAAGATGACATCTCCCCAATGATGGACAGGAATATGGACACTAAGCAAAAGGGTACGAGCAGTTTCAACCAAATGTCTATTTTTCCTTTCTGCTATACCATTTTGTTGTGGCATATGAGGACAAGTGGACTGATGCAAGATACCATGTGAACTCAAAACGACAGAAAAATCAGATGAGAAGTACTCCTTGACATTGTCACTTCTCTAGATTTTTATCACTTGTCCGAATTGATTCTTAATTTCATTTAAAAAGGATGTGAAGATGGATAATAATTTAGAGCGATCTTTCATAAGATAAACTCAAGTACATCTCGAAAATTCATCAATGAAAGTAACAAAATACCTAAAACCAAAAGATGAGACACAACTAGGTTCTCATATATCAGAATGAATGATAGAAAAACTAGAATTACTTTTTGATTGAGACCTTTTAGGGAAAGATAGATCTAACATGTTTGCCTAGTTGACATGACTCACATTCTAAGGTTTGGAGACCATTAATTTCAGGAAACATTTTTTTTAACTTGGACAAATGAGGGTGGTCAAGCCGATCATGTAACACTTTAGGACTAGGGGCTGCAACACATGACACTCGTGGACGAGATCCAAAATGATATAATCCTCCTGCTTCATATTTTTCTCCAATCTGTCTCCCCGAACCATGCTCATGTATAACAAAGGATTTGTTATCAAAAGTTACTGAAAAGTTTAACATTTTGGTTAACTGGCTTATGAAAATTAAATTGAAGGGACAATTAAGAACAAAAAGGACAAATTTTAGATTTAAGGAGGGAGACAAGATGACTTGACCGACTCCCTTTGAGGAAGTTTTAGAGCCATTTGCAAGGGTTATAAAATGAGGTTTGTCTTGAAATAAAATGGTTAAGAACAAGGAGGTATTACCAGATATATGGTCAGAAGCACCGAAATCAATTACCTATGAATTATGACGTTCCATGGATTGAGAGATGTAAGTTGTTGATGTACTTGGATCTTGAGATGGTTGTGCCAAGCTGTTGGACTTGAGTTGTAGGTACTCTTGATACTCATCCTCAGTGAACTTGGGTTCAGTCGTTTCAGCCTGAGAGACATTGGCTGTTTTGGAAGGAAAATCGTGTAAGGAGTAACAATTTTCCTTGGTGTGACCCATCCTTTTGCAATATGTGCACTGAGGACGCCCACGACCACCACGTCTGCCTCCTCTAGTTCAACGTCCTCCTCTTCCTCGAGTGGCGACCATAATAGATGGTTCTACTAGAGCAAGAGTTTCCAGAGTTACATGTGTTGGGACATGAACCATGCCTTGGATTAAGGTGTCTATGGAAGGGACCTCATGAGAGGTTAGAAGCTTATCTCTGATATGGTTGAAGTCTGGATGTATAGCGCGAAGAATCATCACCATATAGTATTTGTCAAGCTTCTTCTTCATTTAGTCTGAAGCGTCGACCTCCACGAACATCCCCAAGTCTTCCACAGCTGATTGTTCTTCATTGATGAAGGAGATCATATCATGGTTGGTCATTTTCAGAGATGTCAGCTTGTTTGTCGAATCATAAAGACGTTAGATATCGTTGGCATATATGTTTTGAGTCCTCTTCCAAAAAGAGTGACATGCCTTGAAGGCCTTAAGAGACATTAAAAGTCTTGGCTCCACGGATTGCCACAACAAGACACATAACTGAAAATCTGCTTGCTTCCACTGTTCAATTTTTTCTTCAGGCACATGGATTCCGTCTTTCTCAAGATGGTCATGATGTCCCTAGTTAAGGAACCACATCTCGACGACAGCAGACCAAGAGAGGTAATTTTGTCCGTTTAGCTTCTCGGAAGTAATGGAAAGACTTTCAAATAATGAAATAGTGCTTCCAGCACTTCCAGTTGTCATTTCTGATCAAGAGGACAAAAAAAAAATAGAGAGCAAATACACAAAAATAGCAAAGATTTTAAAAGTCCTAGGGAGATTTCTGAAAAGGGGACGTCTGACTTCACCAAAATGAATAGAGGAGGTTTTGGCGAAAGCTACTGAGGTGGCGCAGTGACGATCTGGCGAGTGCAAGGTGGTACATGGACTACACGCGCCTGGTTGCAGCGGACGGAAATGGTGCACGTGGCGGCACGTAGGCTGACGGTAGCAGACAACGACGAATAGTTGTTTGACAGTGTTGGACAGTGGTCGAAATGTCACCAGAATGTGGTCAGACGACAGCAAAAAAAGTGATTGGACAGGGAGGTCGGACGGTTGTTGGGAAGTTGCTGGACAGTGGCCAGAATGGTGGTCGAATAGTGGCCAGACAGTGGTCGGATGGTGACCTGACGGGGCCGGATGGTGACCGGAAGGGCTGAGCAGGACCAACCTACTCTGATACTAACTTAAGATTAATAGAGAAAAAATATATATTCAGAGCTTTTGGGACCCTTCTCCCTTTCTTCTATTTATAATGGAAATCTGATACAATGAGACATAGAAGACAAGAGACTACAACTAGGACTCTAGTTGCAGATCTAGATACAGATGTAGGAAGTTTCCCACACTCAACACCCTATACTTAGGTTTAATGAAAATACTAGGAAGTAATGATTCTAACATAATTAAATTATACTCTTTCAATAAATATTATAAAAATTATGATCACAGACTAAAATTTGAGAAGTTTGTCTAGACAGTGGATACGAGAAATGACAATATTATTAACTTCCAAGAATTTGAAAATCTAAACATTTGAATAATTTTTAAGAAGTCACAAAATCTATAAGTTAGAGTTTCAAGAAAAAAAGAAGAAGAAGAATGAGTCATTAGGTAACGAAGATAAGTTCTCGTATACATTTAAACAAATTCACATCATGTGAAAAAAAAGAAAAAAAGATTCAGAAAAAAAATATAATACAGTAATATTAACTCATGAATCAAAAGAAGAAGAATGAGAATCAAATTGTATATTACAAAAAATCTAACCAATTCAATTTAGAATGTCAAGAGTAAGAAATAATTTTACGAATCTTCTAACCCTAACAAATGAAAGGGATATCCCAAAAAGGATAAAAAGAAAATTTTCACGTCACCGTGAAAATTTTGTTCTACGGGAATATGAAAGAAAATAAAGAGAAAGAAGAATAACATTGTCTTACAACAGACATTATGTAAGAGATAAATGGTATTGACAAACATTCTATCGTCATGTAAGCATATAAATAACTTCTTTCTTACTTTCTCATACTTTCAAAAGCATATAAAACTCTTAAAAAGAATTTAAAAGTTGTGACAAAATACCTTAATATTTGAAAACTCGAGCTAGTTATATAGAGATCGAAGAGAAAAGACTTGATCTTTTGATAACATCATCAAGAAAACCCCACGAGAAGATGAGACTAGGTTAGATGGAAAAAAGCATCACAATCAAAATCATATACAATCTCATAATGCATCATTTAGCGATGAAGCGCAAAAGGAAAGCATCTAGAGATGTGAAAACTAACAAGAAAATAACCAAGTCAATCTAGATATCCGATGGTAAATAGACTGAATATGTTTTTTTTATATTTTGACTATATTTTGGATAAGAAACAATGGACAGTTCATATTTCGTGTATGCCACCGTGCTGTTTCTTTTATTTTGAGTATAATTACAATGCTTCCTTTGAAGTTTAGTATATATTTTATCTGCTTTTTTTTTTTTACTTCTGCCATGTTCTTTTCTGTGTTTGTCTTCATTTTATCTTGCTATAAATATATTATTCATAGCAATATATTTTTCGTATACTTAGAAATTTGTCTTTAGTTAAACTTTCATACTTTTATGTGGTGCACAGCTACGCACTAGTTATAATATCAATCTGACAACAATAAACTTGTATTCCCTGATCTTGTTTTGAACCATACAAGAGCTTTAACAGATATCATCAACTGTTGATAAATAATGCTGTTTTCTGCAGTCATTGTCTATAGAGACATAAATTGCCTCTCTTTCTCCTATTAATAATAATTTGTCATGTGTGGACGAAAGGGAAGTATGACAAAGTTGTCAAAAACTAAACTTGGATATTTATCATTTCTACGCAATGTTGAACTGCAGTGTCGTTCTTACATGCTTGAAGTATGTCACTCTTAAAACCAATAACACACAACTTACTACACAAGTGGCACATAAGCAATAGTCTAGTTTCTACTTTATACACAACTAAAAATAGTTTAAACTCATTGGCGATGTCCTTCTGGAAGAGGAACTACTTTATGGAAGGGCACTGTCCTTTGAGGTAAAGATCCATCTTCTTCGTCATCATCAAATTCCAACAAATAGCTGTTCCAAACAGAAATTAATCAACCATGACATAGAGTATTAGTGAATTAGGAAGAAAGGAAAGTGTAGAAATATCTTCTAGCTTATTTAGACGAGTGAGCGAAACAAATTAAATAAGTTTTATAACAAGCTTTTATATCAACTCAAATATTTAAAATTTACTATATTATTAATGTTTATTCTAGCATACTCTTTTATGTTACAAAAAGCTTTTATTTATATTTTAAGAAAACAAATCGTGATGTCATTTCATTTTTTATGGTTATGATAAATAATATTTATAACTAAACAAGCATTCCCTGAAACCTTAATAAAGTATACTTACTCCTCAGTCTTCCTCTGCATAGATAAGAAACGTTGAAGAAAAACCCAGAACATGCGAAGAAATTGGTCAGTATTAAATCTGATTCACAAAAATTAAACTAACCACAAAGGACTAACAGGCTACAAAATAATAGAAGTAAGGGATCAAGAAATAAATCACCATACTAAAGAAAAAAATGAGAGAATCATTACTCTGCGATGGCCTTGAACAACTGTTGCTTTATAAAGTGCCGTAGTTCCTGGATAGACCGCCAAAACATGTTTTCCAGGAGGGAAATCTAAAGCGCTAGAAGGATCATTACTCTTGGGGAAGGGAATGATATTTCCCATGGGAAGCTTGTATTGTCTGAATGCAGAAAGAGAAACAAATGAACATAAACATGCCATTCAAATGGGGTAACAATTGAAGAGACGTGGAAAGAACGAAATTCCCATGGAAGTTTGTGGCACTTCCAGCAAAGCAAGTACAAGAGATAACTTTTATGTTACCTTTGGCCGCTGCTTTCTTCATCATCACCTGGTTCCTCATCTAGTACTTCAAATCTGTAAAATAAATCATGTCATGAAACAACAGATAAAATAATGAAAACGGGAATTAAAAAAGATTAATGGCAACATGAGTAACTATTCCTTTTGTCATTGATAACAAACCATACACAAGGAACAGTGATTTAACAATCTTTTTTCCTTTTTGGAAAAACAACCTTATTACATCACTGCAAAAAGTCTATTTTAAGTCATAAAGCAGCTAAGTCTGTCATTAAGATAGAACAGGCTATTAGAACTCGACTCACAATATAATACCCTACATTTTAGTTAATGTCTTTCAGGCATCAATGTGGTACAACGTTATAAGCATGTCTTGAAAAATTAATGGGAGAATTGAACTAAATACTGACTTTATCACTAATTATATACCCTTAACCCTTCTCATTCTGGAAATTAATGACTTTACTTTTACGTTCTGTTACTATAAACTACATCATTGGTGTATAAGAAAATACACATACACTCAGTACAAACTGTACGCGAAGTCACAAACAACAATAGTGTCAATAGTGTCAATAATATGCAATAACCATAGCAGAGGTCAGTAATTACCCCAAATTAATATTATGCAATTGAAAGAACAAAATTCAAAATTTATACTTACTCCTTTGATTCCTTGTCAAAATGAATCACTTTTACGACAAACCATTCATCCTTATCAGCATTTCGTGGGGTGACTCTAGCTGCTACCTGACAAGTGACAACAAGTGGATCTTGACTAATGATTTGGGGGGATCAAATAATATATTATTAAAAAATAATAAATAAATATAAAAGAGTAAAAGAAAATAAATGGGTGAAAGGATAAAATTACAAATGTATAAGTAAATATATTAAATGATCATTAAGTTTGGGGGGCAAAATCATAAATTATATGAGAGTTACAAAAGTGAGAAGAGACTCGAGAGGATAAAATTGTAAATATATAATTAAATATATTAAATGATCATTAAGTTTGGAGGACCAAAATCATAAATTACATGTCAGTTCCCAAAAAGATCTGGAGTGAAAGAAATTATCTTAAAGGAATAGAACTCTAGATGCTTTAGAAAATTGTTTCCTGAAAAAGTATGCCATGACAAAAGAGAGACTTGTGTATGTGAAAATGTTATTACAACTTATGCATAACCTTGTGAGAGATTCAGACATTTTATATAGAATCTATTAGATGTCACTAACAAATGAATAGCAGAATTATATCAATTTAGCAGCTCAATGAACTAACTATAACTGAATTTCTAACAGTTGTAAGCTTTAAACAGACAAACTTAATAGTGTGTTTGATCTGTATTAATCAAACTTCAGTGCAAATGCATACCTGTTCTCCTTTAAGACTAGCACAAGTCTCAAGATTTCGCATACTAGGAGTTAGCCTTGAAATATCTGACTCAGTCTTCACTCGTTTCCTTTTCTGCTCATTACCTTCTGTAACACGGTACAGTCAGCTTGACTAGGTAAATAGAAACTAGCATCTCAAGGGAAATGAAATCATAATAATAACAAAAAGTTTAAGAAAATTATTTGTTTCAACAATACTCCATAAATCCTTCCACATATTTGTACGTATTTTGATTTTCATGTTTGCGTAGCTTTGCTTTATCAACCGAATGCTGTACAAAAGCACTCTTGCTAATGAGTTATAAGTTTGGCTTGTCAGCACCTCCAAATCATGATTTTCATAGTTATAGGCAGCCCTTATTTCCATTCTCCTTCCACCATATAGGCAGAAAAGGAAGGAATGTAAACATAAATGAGTTGATTTAAGACAAGTTTTACTTAAAATTACACGTTAGCATGCCCTCCCTCCCCCTTTTTCTTCATGTAGCAGCACTATACAGGATTGACCAACATGGCAGCAGAGATGAGTATCCAAAGCAGTAGACTTTACCTTTTCCTGAAAAAGAAACAAAAAAAAAGAGGGAAAGAAAATATCTTAAAACAACCAAAATTAATAACATCCAGTAACAAATCAATTAAAATTTGGCATCCAGTTGTCACAAAGATTTTCAGATATTCTTTTTCTACCCCTTTTCTTTCTCATTTTATTTACTGCCTACTTTCCTTCCACTTAAAACCATAAGTCTAATGCTTTAGACACTTGGTTGAGTTCTAAAATGTTAGTCAATCATACCTAGTCTCTTTGGTTAATACATATCACACAAATAGATAGGAAATATTAAGAAAGGAACATACTAAAATTTTATGATCTGTTGATGTATTTGTTTTATCTATGAATTCTAAATGTATAAGCCTAAGTAGTGAATATTTTAAGTGAAAGAAGAATATTTTTAATTTATGGATGAATTCTAAGTGTATTAGTACAGAGATGATGTTAATATTTCAAATGAAAGATGAACATATTTGTCACAAATTTGAGGCAAACCTATTCTTCTTCGTGTTTGCCCTTGAGGACCCGTAGGCAGTATTCCATCAATTTGGCTTAACATTAAGTTGGAAATACTGCAACCAAAATCAATAGAAGAATCATAAGCTATAGAATGCCAAGCCTGGAAAGTATATCAAGTTACTCTAATGTCAAAATCCATGGCTTAATGATTGTCAGCATAGAAGAAAATAAAATGTAATTCATATAAAATGTTTCACAGTTACAGACAGATTAAAGATACCTTGCTTCACTTTCTGAAAGATCTTTTGCTTGAGTGTACAACACTTTAAGCCTTGCCAATGAGGTATCCCCAGGCTTCTCAACCACTTCAGGAGCTGTATTGAAGTGACAAGCAAATATCAATAACAAAATACTGAGACATAATTGGAGAATATGAGAATATGTTCCCCAGAAATGGAAACAAGTGGAGCCATTCCAGTCAAGCAAGTGCAAAGAGTCTTTGGCTAAGTTAAATTAGAGTCATTTTAAGTAATGGTTCCCAGAGACTGACTGACACAAATCTTAATATTCCAAGTTTCGTATCCAAAAGCATGAAAACGGAAGGGAATTTAAATTTCAATGAATGATGTTTGGTGTGTCATTTCTTAAAATCACTAAAATCAAAGAAAGTTTCATTAACAAAGAATCTCAAATCTTACCTTGTTTGTCAATCAAAGATAAACTAATGTTTTAGTATCATATCTCATACACATTCCCTCATTCAATTGCCTTTGTCCTTGAAATGTGCATAATGAACTGGTGACACATTTTTTCTTCAATAATCAATATTTATTTAATATGCATATTTATCATGTATTCAATGTTTGCTTCTGTTTGATTTTGCATTACTTATCAGACTCAAAAGGATTGTTTGTTTCCTTAATTCAATAAGTTTTTCAATAACTCTTTCGATGTTAACTAAATTAACATTTCTATTACAATTTGAAGATTTGATAAATTATCCTTTTAAGGCCAAGCCGTTCACAAACCGAAGCAAACATAGAACACATGAGAAATGTGGATATTAAATAAATATTGATTATTGAATACCAAAAGTATACCAACAACTATAGCAATAAAAGTCTTATTATTATTTAATCATAAACCTTAGGCATGATACAGATGATTGGTGTGCATGGAGGTGCCAACATAGTTGCGATGTTCATGTACATAGTGGTACATTATATGTCAATTTAAAAAAAAAATAAAAAATAAAAGCAAAACTCTCATTTCACTAGGTAAGATTGACAACTGGACTGCACGACACTGTTAACCTTAGTTGAAAACCAAATTCTCAGAAATATTATTCACCATAAGATCCCTTTTAACAATTTCCTCTTAGGTATTTTTTTTTGCCTAACCCTACCCCTTTTTCACACAGGACTGGAAACCATGCAATCTACTCATCTTACTGGTACGTCTTAGCCTTTCACTAGTTATAACTTTATTCATTAACCAAATAAAAGTAAAAAAGCATTGCCGTTCAACAATATGCTTATTGGAAAGAATGAGGAGAGATTTTTGTGCATAACTAGGATCTTAACAAGGGTATCTGAATGTATTCAAATATTTCAGTAACTTAAACCCCTTCTATTAAAAATCACCAACTCTTGTTAAGTTTAATTTGGAAAAATAGAAAATAAAATATTACCCAGCTATGACCTTTTAGAACAATTATTAGTCTGCCAAGGAAAGATCTCTGAATACAACAAAATTGATTCATGGAAAATGTTCACTAATAAAGCAACGGTTTGCAAGTCCATTCCTTATGCCATCAGCATAATTTAAACTCGTGGAGCTTCCACAAACTCGACTTGTAGAGTTAACTTTGTAGGAGTTAACTTAATATAAAAAATAATATTAAAAACTTCTTAATAACATATAGGCTTCACAAAATACTCTTAATACAACAATAATTCAATATTTAAACTTCACAATAAAACAAAATAGCAAATGACAATAAGAAAGTGTAAAAGTAAATTATTACTAAACAAGATCACACTACTAAATGACCAAATTTTATATAAATTCATAAAAACAAAAGCTATGGAAGTGAAAATATATTAAAAAGGAGTTAATTTAATCAAATCATTTGAGTCATGGTAAAACACTATCATTGGGGGGTCAATGAAGACAAAAGTTATAGTTGATTTCAAGCTCATGGACTCGCTTTTATACTCGTGCATTCATGCCTGATTTTACCATTATCAGAATTTGATAGAGTGCTTACTTACTTTGTTTACCTAGAATTATAAAATTGTAAAAGTTTAAGAGTGAAATCGAGATTGACAACCATGGTCGCAGCGCTTCATAGAATAAGCCAAGAAATTGGCAGACGCACTGAAGGAAAGCATTATGAAACTGAGGTTTTAATTTATTGCTGCATTATAACGTGGCTAAAGCGGTCAAATTTTCAAAGGCTAATGTGCATGACATGTTCCATTTCATGTTTGAACAGGATGGATATTAGTAATCAGCACACAACAATAACCAAGTCTTGCCCCCATTCCCACAATTTGATGTCTGTTAGTTAAATTGATGACCAAGCTATGTTACTTGGAGAAAAGTATATTTTAAATGTTACTCTTAATATTTTTCTCTTATGGACTCAAACCAATGTCCACATGCCCATTAAGTTGCTTTAGAGGGCTCCCCTCCAAACTCAGATGCAAATCCAGGCCATGAAACTGAAACCTGGATTCTGCTGAGCCATCTCAGATCCAGTCCCAACTGAGATCTAGACACAAATTCAAGATGATTCAGCGAATCATGTTAAACACCACTGAATCCTGCAATCTTCAAACCGTTATGGATATCCAAGGATCCTACCCAGGACATACAATATTCTAATTAATACCATTGTGACGAAAGTCAAAACTAACTTAAGCATGGAAGTGCTTTAAAACACAGTAAAGCAGTGTTCCACTTGCAATTCATTTTCTGGCAACAAACATTTCCTTAGGTATTCTTCTGTCCTTTTAAAGGGGCTAAATTTCTATTTTATTTTATTTTTTTCACACTAGAACTTCTATTGATGTTCATAGCACTTGTCACGACCTTATTAACTTAGGCAAACATGTTTGGCACACCATTTTCTTTCATGCACTGTCCTTCCTAATAATTATTATTACCCATCAACACCAGCAAATCTATTTTTTTTCATGTATGAAATACAAACAAAAACGTCAGTATCCCATGTTCGTGAAATTCAGAAACTAAATGTAATTTCAACAAAAAATCATCATCCAAAGAAACACTTAAAACCAGGGCCATTTTAAAGGGTAATAGAAATTACAAAAAAAAGAAAAAAAAAAAAAAACAGCCAACACACTCAAAACGTTTTTTTTTTTAATATAATTTTAAATTTTAAGTTCAATTTATCCAAAACTTAAACGGATAAAAATAAATAAAACAGAAGAAAGAAAGACATGATTTACAAACATACGTTAACATTATGAACCTTAAGGATCATAAGAAGAACGAAGATGCAGCATTGGAAAAACAAAAACAGAAAAAAAAATAATGAATAAAGAGAGAACTGACTAGTTTGAAGCTTCTTATGGAGCTTGTTGATCTCTAAGAGAATCTCCTCCTGTTCTTTCCTTACCCGATCGAGCTCCTTCGAGTTCTCTAATAGCGAGACAACGTCAGGCGACGACATCGTTTTGATCTGGAAACAAGAACAACGGCAGAAAAAACAGATTCTTCCACCGATTCTGCTCTTCCGACGTTGCTATCCAAATAAATCGAAAATTGAGAGCGGAATTGAAATTTCTATTTTTTTATTATACTTTTTTCATTAAAATTTAAAAAGTATAATATTTTGCCTTAGGCTTCCGCTCTGTTATATGTTTTAATTTTTTTTTTATATAAAATAGAAAAACCTTATCTTTTGTGTTATTGGAACATTTTGGCACCCAAATAATCTTCTCTCACTGGATTAGCTAATTTTGGGATAAAATATATCTCCAATTTATGATTAAAAAAATATTTATATCCAATTGCGACTTTATGTTAATTGAAAAAAAAAAGTAAATCTTAGACTGTGATAGAGGATAAGAAATAAAATACTTTTAATATTACAAAAAAACGTTTTGTTGGTTTATATGTCCATTTCAGCTCTTATTTATTTCAAATTTTACTTTCTATATTTGGTCAAATAACATTTTAATAGTGAAAAATACATTTTAAAAAATTATATACATTATTTAAATTACATTATCGAATATGAAAAAAAAATTCACATTTGTGTTGTTACATAATTTATGAATACCATTTTATAACAAAAGCAACATTTAATATATATACATACATATATATATATATATATATATATATATATATATATATATATATAAGTTTTGAATTACAAATTAATAAATATAGAAATAATTTTTTAACAAATCAAATCAAATTATTATTTTATCAAATTTGAGGCAATGTAATTAAGTCTACTAGATATTGGCTAATCAATTTGTTAACTAATTTAAAAAAATATAATAAGATATTATTTAATTAAAATTGACTTTAAAAAGATCAAAATTAAACTTATTGATATCTAATTCTCTGAATGTTTGAGTGACTTGCTAGAATTAACTCCCTAATTATCTTCTTGCATTTCTATGAATTTTATTGAACCAATCAAATTTGAATAGGATAAAATATGTCTTTTCATGTACTTTAGCCCATTATCAGATCATTTCTTACCTTATTTTTATTCAATTTATGACTTAAAATCAAATATTATAATTTGTATATATATAACTTATATAGACATTAATTTTAAAATATTTTAAAATACATTATCTAATCAATCATTTTTCTTTAAGAATATGTTTTGATATCAGAAAAAATAAATCACTAACATTAATTAAAAAAAATGCATTTGTGGGAATAAAAACTTATATAATATAATTAAGAATTTTTTTCATCCTCATTAATTTTTAAGTACATTGAGTTTAATATTTATTTATTATTAAATTAAATAATTATTAAGATATTATTACTATAAATAATTTTGAGAATTTATTTACAAATTTAAAGAGAAAATATATGTTAAATTTAAATGTCAAGCTTTCAAATCAATATTATTTATTGAAAATAAATATTAAATTTATGATTTTGATGGTAATAAACAAAATAAAGTTTTTGGTATTCAACATATCTATTAAGTGTATTATTCTAAAAAAAAAATCAATAAATAAACTAATAGATGAGTTTCTTTCATGATAGCACATCAACTCATGGTTACAAAATACTTAATAAATTGATGTTCAGGAATCAATTAGCAAACAATTGATGTTTATCAAATAACTTATGGACACATCATCATCCAATAATCACTGGACCATACCAACTAGTACATAATCACACTAATTAATGTATGTCATTTCATGTGACAAGACGAGTTAATTCATGCTATTTATAAATACTCCAAAATAAACATAATACTTTTATATAAAGATCATAGGTGGTCTTGTTCAAACGAGAGCACACTCAACTAATGTCACGTGTCATAAATCCTAAGGTGAATTCCTAATATAATTAATCTTATGATTTTGATACGTGAAGATAACTTTAATATATCTAAATAAACTTATTTAACGGACTATTATGTGTACAACAAATTCATACTTAATCTATTGATCATCATATTGTTTTATGAGATTACTTGTTACTCATTCTATTAATTAAGTACCAATTACAATGTGTTTGATAAAATATTAATTAGCTAACATCAAGTTGACCATATAAATTATTGACCAAGCTTCGTTAATAAGTTACATATTAAATAAATTTTATAATATGGGAAAGTATAGGTGTAATAACCAAAATTCAAAATATTATCTTTGAAAGAAAACCTGTTATTTTACCATGAGCACTACAACTAGAATTAAGGAAAATTTGATACTTATCACACATATAGTGAAATGAGAAAGGAAAATCATATAATAGATTATCTGAGCAAGAAGTTGAGAAAATATTAAGACTTTATAAATGAAGACAAAGAATATGCAAATATAACAAGATTTGTCCAAGATACATATAAAAAAATATTTTTTTCTAACAACTATGTTTGCATAAAAAGGAAAACATGCAATATATACAGTAACATGAATCGATCAAAGACCAAAATTTTATATGGAAAGTATTTCGAACTAAGAAACAATGTGTATCATACTTAACAAATGTAAGACCTTGTGTGAATAAAAAAAATTAGAAGAATGTACATATAAAATGTGAGATATCACATAAAGAAAGAACATCAAATAATATCAAGTTATTAAAGAATTATTTTCAAGAAATATTAAAAATTAATATTTAAGTCTTATAAAAGAAACGCATCGATGAATTCACGAAACATATAACTACTGTACAAACCTACCTCTTTCACGAAGTCAAACCTAGTTTTCATACCAACAAGTTTTTTTTTTAAATGAATAATAAATTCACAATAAACTCAGGGTGAATATAACAAATTAATTTATGAATATAAATATTCAAACAAGGTAACTTTTGATTTTTCTTTCTTGAGAATTTGTTCATTCGGTGAATATTTTGAATTCTGAATGCAGTTTGACTAAACGATTCACTTCTAATATTTCATTTTCAATCTTCTCCTCTGAGGCTTGGTATTCATATCACTTTTGAATGTAGTGATTAGAGGGATTCTTGCTCAAGGTGTTGAAAAAGAAATAGTAATTTTATGCATTTAGAGTCATAAACTAAAGAAAGAGAAAATCATAAAACAATACCATATGAATAACATATACAAAAATACAAACATTTGGTCTTAACTTGAGTAATCCGATTTTGGTTATCGGATGTAAAATGATTGCTTGGAGACACATCAATAGCTCCTTAAAATAGGGCACCAAATCACATACTCAAGAGAGTATAAAGATATATTATTCAACTTCCTTTTACCATGTAGAACATGAACAATGATCGAAAATTTTATTGAACACCAAATCACATGTTATTTTTTGTTTATTTCCTTTTTATCATTTTGTTTTGTTTTAACAATTTTATTGAAAATTATCGAAAATCGATGTTGTAAGTTGATGGTGAATTTCCCTTCTCTCCATTGACTAATTGTATTTTTCGTTATATTGTTAATATTTATAGTCATTAATTTAATGTGATACATATTGCCAAACTTACAATATAATCCTAACATAATTTTATAACATAGTATCATATATAAAATATAATTTTAAAATTACTCATTTTGCAGTGTCTTCATTTATAAATCCTTCACAGTTTGTGAGGAAATCTAAATTCATTACAACTTAAACTTTTGACAATTTGTGATCTCCTATCTCCCCCAACGAGGGAAAATAAATTCACCAAATTATACTTGGTATATTATAATTTGTAAGGAAATATTTGAAAGTTGTTATAGAAAAAAATTTCGTCACAAATAATAACAAAAATATAAGTCCCTCACAAAATTGTTTGTGACAACATATTCTTCTTCAAATTGATATTTCTTTCTAATAGTATATTATAGTTTTAATTAATGTTTTTAACCTTCTTAATCTCAAAATTACGATGACAGTATGTCTATTGTAATACATTATAGTTGTGTAGTTTTTTTATGTATATTTATGTTTTATGTAATATATGTATATATATTATAAAATTATTATTAATTAACAATACTTTTTGTTTTTTTGTTTATTAAATTTTTCTCATTTGAGTAACAAGATTTTTTTGTGCTTTGATTATTTTCTTGGCAATGTTATAAAAAATGTTAGTGAACTTGAATGATAAAAAAAGTCTTACATTAAAATTTATAGATATTTTTTTAGATAATATAGTATAATACTATAAAAATAAAAATAAAATAAAAAGAATGGTGGAATGTTGAAATTTAGACATTTTATAAGAAATTAATTTTAGAAATTTATTATTTTATAACCTTAAGTTAGAAAATTATGGTGAAATGTTGAATATAACTTATAAGATTTAATCTTAATTTTAGTATGTTTAGAATAATTAATAAAATTGTCTAGACTAGTTATAATACATAATAAATGAATTAAACTAAGGCTAATCAGCATAATTAGTAATTATAAAAACTTCATGATTAGTTTTAAGATAAGAAAATAATTCTAGAAAATCTCATAAACTTTCAAGAAATGGACACTTAATATACATTATAAATTAAAAAAGAGAGTTAAAAACTTATAGTATATATCTAAAATACTTTATAAATTAAGTTAGACAAAATTTAGATTTTGGTGCTGTTGACTTGATTTTGGTTAGGATTTTGATTCTTGTGCTCCAAAATTGAATAGAAATTTAAGTAATTAGTTAAAAAAAGGAGAAAGTTATTTCATTGCTCTAAAGTTTGTTGAAGATGTATTTTGTAATGATCCATTGTTTATGTTACTTATTATACAATATAATTTTTCATTAAAAAACTTTGGTGGAGAAAATAAATTGTAAAAATGTTTTGAAATTATTTTTTACTTATTTCTAGTACAATTGACAATAAAAAATTAAAAAAATAATAAAATTATATATATATATATATATATATATATATATTAATTACAGTAAATATTTATTTATAATAACTCATAAAAACAGTTAAAAATATATTTCAATGTATAACTTAAATATGATTATGAGTGCTGAAGCAACATGTAGAGGGTTGTTCTAAAAGCTTTTTTTGGTCTTTGCATCATCATCACTGTCTGTGGAGTTAAGGGCAGAAGAATCCCTTGTTTGAAAATAGTCCTTCTCAGCATAAGACATACGCTCTTGGAACATTATCCATTCCTTGTTACATCTTTCCCTCACCTGATGCAAAAGTAAACCCTAAAATGAAATTTGTTTTTTAATTAAGATGCTAAAATAGACTAAGTTTCCTCAATCCATATCAAACAATAATTTTAATTTCTCAATATATTTTATCTAACCTATCTATCACATAGGTTAAGGATGGAGTGATTCCTATAAAAAAATTTATATATTAAATTAAAATTAAAATAATTATAATTTAAAATATTATGCTTTTTATTATATTATTAAAATATATAAATATATAATAACATTATATTTTAAATTATAAATATTATTAATTATAATTAAGTAAATATTTATAAATAAATACAAATTTAAAAAAATATATATAAATAAATAAATTTGACTGACAAAGTTTGAAGTTTATATGCAAACAATGCTCTTGCCACCCCTGTTTATAATACACATCCATATAAACTCTTAGTTAATGGCAAAATGCTTATATTACACGAAGAAAAGGTGTATTTATATATATATATATATATATATATATATATATATATATATATATATATATATATATATAACATTATTTTAATTGGAGTATTCATACATACCCCTTCCCATGGTGCCCTTCCTTTCGCTGCTTTCCCCTGTTCATAGAAGACATTATTGTATGAGTTATTATTATGTAAGTGTTTCCAATTAAGCTTATTTTGATTACCAAAGAAACTTATTTAAATAGGTTAAAAACATGTCCTCTCTTTACCACATTTCATATCCACTCTTATATTTACACACAAGAAGAAAACAATTTAAAATAAAATGTTTAAGTTTTTGGTAAATTATGAAATTCCTTATCAGAACAAGATTAATAATACCTTTCTTTAGTTTTTAAAAACAATTTTTACCATTTTCAAAAAATTTAAATTCATTAAGTTTTAATTTGTCTAATTTTTACCTGGTTCCCTAGTGATGGAAGACTTTGGTGGACAACCCATTGAGTGTCAACCACTCCTATTTTCTCGTGAGGATGCTGCATCCAACCAAATCAATTACTTTACAAGCTCTAACCGTGGTTAAAAGGGCACTTATCGAAAGAAAGATATGCAAAACACTAACCTCAACACAATTTTTGAGAACGAAATCAAGACCCCACCCATGAACTAGGTCATTCTACAAGGTGGCATGTAAAAAACAAATAAGGTATGAATTGATTTATGGTCTGAAAACAAAAATAAATCACAAGATTTACGCCTAAACCTGGATCATGTGCCACACACAACGCCATGCATCTCTGGAAAATACAGGGGCCATGATCTCAACAAATCTAAGCATTTAATATCAAAGTGGGGTGAGATATGACCGCCTTAGAAGCCCAGAATACAAAGGAAGAAAGATGCATATTTGGGAACTACTTTTATTGGTAATATTCAAAAAAACTATCTCATCAAGTTGAAAGTTTAATGAAAGATTCACTGAATCCTTTAAATCCAATATTTACTTACGCAGCACATGGTGGCAAAGGAGGATCAGAACACCAACCATTGTTTTCCTCAACTTTTCTGCAATAGATTGGCAAAAATAGTTTAAGCAAGAAGATGGTATTGTTAAAAAAACTAATGATTAAGCAACAATAGTTGCTTCATGGAGGATATCCTGCTAATCAGAGGCAGAAGATTGAGGAAAATTCTGAAAAAAAATTAAAGCATATAAGAAAGTTATTCACTTACGTATGGACTTCACAACTATCCCTTTTCCTTGTCATCTGCCATGTATAACTACTATTTGGGTCTATACCAGGTTGTGAGATCTCCAAACCATATTTCCTTACTATTTTTAAGTACCTGGGACAAAGAGAAGTTTGATTGAAAATTTTCACCGACTCTTAGATTCTCACAGTTTAAGGAATGATTTTGACTTAGGATACATACTCTTCTGCATCAAAATGCTCCACCCCAAGATCCTCATCCCAAACAAAAATGTAGTCATAAGGAGCCACAATGTCGGGATGCAGAAATCGTTTAGCATACCACCTTAAACAAAATATTATGGATTTTGTGTCAAAACTTGATGGACAAGAAGCTCGATCAAATGTAGTTACAATCTATAAAATGGAACAAAAAATGTCAATACAAGATCACTACTACTAACCATTTAGTTTGCTTCTTGGCGCTGATATGAATCACTCGCTTTGACCACTCAAACTTGTCCCAATCACTAGCTTGTCCATCATAGTGAAACAACACGACGGTGAAGTTTTCAGAGAACTGTAATGTTAAGTCCAAGGGTTACGTGAAGAACAGAAAAAATAAGTTATAAACCAATGTAGAATGATCAGAACGCAATCAGTTGTAGAAGACAAATAAAAACATAGATTGATGTATAGCGGAAACAGAAATCACCTTTTTCATTGCAGCGTCAATATTATCTTTTTGATCTAATCCAACAGTAAATGCTACAAGATACATCGGTTTGATACTTAGGTCCTGCAAGTGCCACCTCCATCAAGAGAAGATTCAAATTAGAGAACACAAAAATCCACCTCAATCATATAAAAAATCTTAGAGAAACTCCTGTTCCAAGCACGATCACAAGCTAACATCTGCAACTAACTTATCTTTTTATGAGTTCATTAATATTACATGATAGCTTTCTTAAATGCTCCATATGAACCCTTCAACCTTACCAGAGCAACCACTTGAAGTTTTCTTAGTTATGTCTGTTGCAGGTAGCATCAATTGTCCTGTGACGAAGGTCAGGTGGGCCGAGTCACAATTGAATCGTGGCGCTTGGGCTGTTAAAGTAAAAAGAGTTGCGCTCTGACTAATGGCTATAGCTTTTGGCCTAGTGGTAAGCGCGATCCTAACAATTGGTATCAGAGCCAATTTTCTTAGTATGCTCTGTGGTTGCAGCTTTGTCTGATCTTCCACATCGAAAAGATTTGGTCTTTTTTCTTGGGAATCTCGGTTTAGAGAAGCAGTGGGAGCTTTCTTGAAGCAGTGAGAGCAATGGCATTGGAAGAAGGAAAGGTGAGGATCGAGAAGTTCGATGGCGGTGACTTCGGGTTCGGAAGATGCGAGATGGAAGATTATCTGTATCGGAAGAAGTTGTATCTACCCTTGACGAGGCGAAGCCAACCGACATGGAGCAGATCAGAATGGGAGTTGTTAGATCGGCAGACGCTTGGTGTGATCCGGCTGACATTAGCCAAGAATGTTGCGTTCAACATCATGAACGAGAAGACAACCGTAGATTTGATGCAGGCGTTGTCAAATATGTATGAGAAGCCCTCTGCAGCCAATAAAGTGCATTTGATTCGCAGGCTAGTCAACCTCAAAATGGGTGAAGGTAACTCGGTTACTAATCATATTAGTGAATTTAATGCAATTATTGCGCAGTTGACATCAGTGCAAATAATATTTGATGATGAGGTTCTCTATTTTGTTATATAAGCAACCCTATGTAAAGTTTGAGATATACACAGAAATAAAAATACTTTCTAGTGTAGTCGTGGACGTAGGCATACATATTTTAGCCGAACCACGTTAAAATTCTTGTGTCGTTTATTTTTCTCTCCTTCATTCTTTCCTTTATTATTGTCTTGTTCCTAACAATTGGTATCAGAGCCAAGGTCACGAGTTCGATTCCTGGTGGGCAATTGTTGAGGGGGAGATTGTTGCAGGTTGCACAATTGTCCCGTGGCAGAGGCCGGGTGGGCCAAGTCACAATCCAAGAGTGGGATACCTTGTAGGACAATTGCTGAACACTTTCTAAGTAAAAGGCTACTAATTTGACCCTAAAGCGAACACTTTCATAATCAACTATCTTTTACAGTGAAAAATAATGTTTTACTCAAATGCATATTTCATTTTAAGGTACAGTAAAAATGCACACCTGATGAGGCATGCCCCATAAACGATGAAGATAGAAATCTGATTCAGATTCCACAAATTTTGGGGGAAGCATTTCAGCCCCTCGAGGATTTGTAGGAACCCAAATCTGCATCAGAATCAAATGTATCAATTTAATGCAAGATTCCAAGAATGTGAAAGGCATGCGATGATTGTTGTTGACAAAAAGTAAGTATGTGGTATTATGACATGTATATATTCCCAACGCGTTAAAAAATACAAGTTATAAAGACTAAAGGTAATATAAATATATGGTAGGAATGTCTCACCCAACATTTTAATTCCTTTTAAGACACCCACAACAACTTTCACTTTATCTACATTAAATCGATAATAATCATTCTCTCTTTGATGTCACCTATTAAGTATTCTGTTTGCATTTTAATTCAACTCATAAACAGTCATTATCTTAGTTCAGTTCACTAGTCTATTCATATCTGTCCCAGAAATGATGAAATGGAAAAACAATGAGATATGATGAAATATTAAAACACCATAAAACTATACCTTTGTGTCATTCAATCTGTGAAGCCTATTATTATACATGCTTCTATCACTCATAAATTTATCCCAGGCATCCCACAAAGACTTGGTTGGAATTTTCAAGTAATTGTCATCAACATATGTGAGATCAATGGATGGTAAAAGTCTTGATGGAAGATTCATCTAAAAATTCATAACATGGGTCAAAATTCATGATATGAAAGAGCAATTTAAGGATATTGGGGAAAGATTATAGACCCTACTGACCCTAGTCAATTCTAGTGTTGGAAATGATACTCCTAGAAAGAAGCCAAAGACAACTCCAGCAAAGGTTGCTATGGTGAACTTCATTGCTTCATTGGGTCTTTTTATATTTATATTTCCACTGCATTTCATAATTGAAAAACAAGAAAAAGTTACATGCATCAGGTATGAAGAAATATTATTTGTGGTTCCTCTGGTATAGAGAGAACAATTCATGCCATGAAAATGTATCCAAGTTATACCTTCGAATGGGAATTCCCATAGTCCAAAATTATTTTTTGAGGTTTATGTTCATGAGTATGCAGAAATGTCTTTCCTTTGACAATGACAGACCAAATGATCACCCTGTAATAGTTATAGATGTCAAAAGCAAAATAACCAAGTTAAAAATATCACTCAAAATCTATAAGAATTTTCAAAACATCATGTGCTTTCGCAAACCCGTCACAAGTTGCAAAAATTAATCATTAGTCACCTCAATTTTGTTGCAATGTAAACATATTTTAAGTCACATTGTAAGAATTTTGGTTAATCCTTCTTCTTCACATATTTCTATCTAAGTACCAACAGCCGAAAACATGAAAGATGGTACTACATAACCCAATTTGTGCCTTCAATTAAAAGGACCAAATGAAAAACATACACAGATGGAAAAAGGCAAGACAACAACCAAGGTACTTTTCGTTGATTGAATGATCAATGCAAGAATAATTAAAAAATACACCATATTTTTTATAATAACAAAAAAAAAAAAGCATACCTAGATGAACTTTTAGCACATTCGTGGTGTTGGCACAACAGAATAGGGAGGGAAGAGAGAATGGAGAATGATCCTACAGAGAGAAAGAGGAATGATTCTGCAGATTTTGATGATAAATGACGATGTCGTTGATTTTGTTAAGTCATGTCATGGAATTTTTGTTTGTTTGGCTCATATTGTCGTAGAAGAGGAAGTGCCCCTCGACGAGGTCGAAGAATGGCCATTTTGTAACTCAATGTGGCATTGTAACAAACAACACCTTTCACCTTGACTTCTATATTAAATATATAGTTTTTATTATTTTAAATTGTTTTATACTATATCAAATCAAAGATATTTTTCTTTTTCATATATAAATTAAAATCATTAAAAACTTACCAAATCTTAATTTGAATTTCATTTTCCAAATTTTGAAATTATCATATCATGTGTCTCAAATTTACTACTTTATTTTTATATTTTTCCTATATTAAATTCTTAAATAAAATTCTAAAAGAATTGACTATGCGTCAAGTATCGTCATAGATTATAACATTTTATATTCTTTTTTTTTTACTGATTTTTTATCTTATAAAAATATATAATTGTTGTAATTAAGATTATAATGATTTTCTACTGATTTGAACAGTAAAAATTATAGAAACATTTTTAATGGGGTTTATGGTAATTCTTAGATGTAAGAACCTCTTCTGAATATAGTTGTGAGGATCGATTCTTTTACTAATTAAGATTTATTTCTTATGAAAAAACCATAAAGATGTTGAATATATAAGATTCACTTTATGTTTCTAAATGAGTTAACAGTTAAAAAAAAGAAAGAAAAAAAATCTTAGATTCAATGTAGTAGTGTATTATACTAAAATAGTTAATAATCGTAGATGAGTTGTGTCGAAGGTGTTTTAAAAAAAAACTATATATTATAAATTAAAAGTACATTCTTATAAATTTCGATCAATAATATATTCAATTAAATATTACTTAAAATTAAGGCAATTGAATTACTTTAAAACTACACAATTAAAGTAATTATTTAATAATTATATATCGTATAATTAAAGTAATAAATGCGAATATCATCAAATGTAATTTCATTAATAATATCATCAAAATCAAATAAAAGTGTAAACAATTATAAAATATCAATAATATATAATATCAGTAATTCTATTCAACTTAAACCTATTTATAAATTATAAATTTATATAATAATGATAATAGTAATTTCATGCAACATTTTTTAAAATAATAAAATAACAGACACCCCCTTCAAATGCAGTCTTATTTTCCAGAGAAAAAGAACGTAAGTGCGAGCACGCATTATGGTGGTGAAATAACAAATGAAGCAAATATTCCACTTCAAAATACCATGCATCAGAAAACTGTAATCTCTATTACGCTAACGAGCATGAATGTGTAATAGGAAGAGGTGGATCTGAGAATGATCCAGTGACAATGCGATTTGCGATCCAGTTATTTGCTGCGTCAGTGTAGTGCACACCATCCCAGCTAATGTGTGATGAAGGATCTTGGCATGAACCAGCATAAACTTCTCTGCCATTAATACTAGCATTGTAATTCCCACAGAAGAAGTGCATGCCACCCTCATGAACTCCACAACAAATTTCAGATGGGTCAACGAATCCTGCCACATAGTTAAAGGCACATGTAAGTTATCTTGAAACTTTTCTTTAAAAATGATCCTTATCCTGGCAATAGAATTCGGTGTGACAAAGAAGTTTACCTTGTTTCTTAGCATTACTGATTAGCTCATACTTTGCAGAGAAAATGTCCACATACACAAATGAGGCATCAAGGTACAGTGCCCTCAGTTTGACCACTGAATCATTGAGCTTTCTGTTGAACTCTTTGGCCATATCGTTCTGATGCACGACGCAGCCGTTTTGATCAAGATATCCAGCCACTGGAGTATAATTGTAGGCATTGTGTATAGGCATGGCCACTGGGAGGCACCCAATGGGGCCTGTGTTGTGGATCCAGAATGTTCTTGCTCCTTCACTGTATAAATACTGATATGTGTGTTGTGTTAGAACTCTGCCAAACAAGAAACATATTCTTGTGGATTGAATCACTTACTATAAGCAGGTTTGAAAATTGGTCCACTATGTCTGAGATCACTGCTTCAGAATTTTCCTGGTCCATTCTTTGGAGAGCAGCAGCAATGTCATTTTGCCCAATGTCGAATGTATAGATGGCTTTGGCAAAGTCCTCTGGCCTTGGAAAGGAATTTCCCTGTCCTGCAAGTAATGATAAGCACATTTATAATCCAGATATGATCACAATAATTTTTCAGGATTAAAAGAGGTAGAAAGAGAAGATAGAAACTTAAGATACCACGAGTATAGTAACAAAGACAGATATGAGAATAGTTTTTTCTATAAAAATTAATATATATATATATATATATATATATATATATATATATATATATATATTGGGGAAAGGGATGTGTTCAAAATTAAATTAGAAATAATTTTGAGAATATAATTACATATAAATATCAATTATCAGATAAAGTGTGTCACTTCAAAAGTTTAGACATTTTTCTGAATCATAATCAATATTACTATATTTAAGGAGTTATAAAAAATTATCTATCTATTATTCATTTAGTTTATTAATAAATAAATCAATTTAAACTATCTACTTCAAAATACAAGTAAAAAAATTTATCAGAACTCACCTATTAAGTTAACTTTATGCATCTATTATTTTTCAAAATTTAATGAATCCTATACAACAAAATTAATCTAATCAATTTTATTTAAAATAAATCAAAAATATATTTTTAAAATTTGTTTTACGAAATATACTCACGATGGGATATAATTAAAATAAATTAACAATTTTTTTATCCAATATATTCTAATTTAAAATAAAATGTATTTAATCCATCAAAAATATATATTTATACGGTATTAATTGGTCATAATACTCTGAAACTGATAATAAGCATGCATATGATTTACACATGCATTTCACATAATTTAAGCAAGAGCAAATGAAGAAAAACACACAAAATATAATGTTTAAGTGAAAATTTTATACTTAAATGAATATTAAATTAAATTATTTGTGTCAAAAGGGCATGAACCCACGTAACCATTTTGTGAACCTTCTTATTGGTCGCCTTATCATCATCATATTAACAGATGTAAGAAAAGAAAACATTTGCTAGGCTGATTCATGGTATATAGCTAGGAAACGTTTAAATCTAAAAGATGATCTCACAAATCGAGAAACAGACATTTTAAGCCACTATTGATGCTGCATTTGCGTGTTTGTGTTGTTATATAATACCCCATTACTTGCATTTACGTGTTTATGCAATGATCAATACTTGTCAAATTCATATTCTGATGCAATAATTAAAGTAAACCTTTGGCTAGACACGTGACACTGGAAAACAACCTTGCTTGTAGAACTTGGCTGTGCGAGTCTTAAATTGGATAAACTGTGCGACCTGAATTTCAAGACTGAAAGGACTACCACCATCAAAGAAGGTTCTGTTCTGCCTCCTAACGGTTGATGATGATGCAGCAAAGTTTGCACCATGGCCATAGCTTGATCCAACTGAGTCTATATATGCACTCAAGTATTGCAAACCTAGATGCTTGGCTGCATGCATATCCAAACAACTCAATCAGTTACTTCAATCTTTTTCTATGATCCTTGTAATGCACACGTTTTTATAGTGGCGGTATAATTTCCTAGGGTATGACAGAAAGGAAAGTGGTGTGAATGAGAAATGTATACCAATGAAGTCTACAATAAGGCGACCATCAGAAGCTCTCCCTGCTGCCTCATGAAAGAAGGTCTGACCATATGGCAAAGCTGCTGGGTAAAATGCTGCTGACATGCAGCCAGTGTCTGAATTGGAGTCACCAAAGTTGAATATGGCTGGAAAACCACAACCCTGTGAGGATTTTGTTTCCTCAGCATCTATACTCAAAAAGAGTGAGAGTGAAATCACAGCAATAAAAAAGTGTTTAAGGAGTCCCATTTTGGTGTTAGTGTTTAGCAGCAAAATATACTATGTTATTTATACAACATAGGGCATCGCTATTATGACGGTGCAAAAAAATTAGTGGTTGGTTAGAAGTCATATACGTCTGTTGAAAGCATAATTAGGTATTCGAGGTATAGAAATAAAGAACTCCAGCTGTTTCCTGTCTACTATACAGCAGTTAAGATTTATTAATGCATAATAAATTATAAACGGTAATGATAAAGATACCAGGTTTACGATGCATTTTAAACAAACAAAAACTCTAAGATAATTTCTTTTTTCTTTTTTATGTTTGTGTTATGAATAATTATTATTATAGTGGTTGTACATTTATTCTCATATTTCATTTTTAACACTCTCTTTGTTTCTATTTAATTATAGGATTTTGCTAAGAATTTTGCTTTTGTTTAATTGTTATCTTCAAAATTCAAGACAACATTAATTTTTTTTTCTGTCATTTATATCCTTACTCCTCACCTAATTTTAGTTAGTTTATATTGATGCACTTTCAATTTCAGAATTTTAAAACTATGAGTGAATATAATTTTACAACTTTAGAATTACATGTCTATTTAAGTTGTATGGAGGAAAATTAAAAAAAAAAAAAAGTAAAAAAAACATCTACATCTAACCGAATAGTGTAACTTGAAGAATAATAATTTTTTACTTGATTAATAATTTAAGAAGTTAGTGTTAGTATTATATATAATATAACAAAATATGAAGTAGTTAAATAGGTTTTCTTACATATTCTTGAACATAGTAGGAGATAGGAAATTCCTACATAATTGGATTGATGTGAGAATGTTGACCGTCCAGTCACATACTAATATATTTTTTTCAAGGCTTGTACATTGAGATGGTGCAGAAATGAATGTTACAAATTGAGACCTATAGAACAACAACAATAGAGTTATTCAACAATCAACAACACCAAACACATTTCTCTCCTGCTCCCTATTCTTTCCTTCATTCTTCTTCATCCACTTCCATCTCAAATCACTCACGTCACGCGCACTTTCTTCTCGATAGTACACCACAAGACATGCGCGCATGACACAGTAACTTAACCACCAAGATCCACCCACATCCACTTACCCAACAACAATATCATCATCCACAATTTCAAATGCTTCTTCTTCACATCCATGTCAATAGGCCCCAAAGCTTTGTTTATATTACCTTTGCAGCCAAGAAAGACCTCTCTTTTTTTTTCCTTCAATTTTAAGCTTCTTCCAATACAACTTACTTAACAAAATATTCCAACAAAATTATTCCCCCCGATTATACTATTTTTCACAATAATATAAAATAAATTTATAATCTTTATCGATTTCAAAAAGTCATTATATTTTCTAAACTACCTTTGAAAAACTATGTTTTATTCAATTATCGGTAAAAAATCAATAATCTTCTAGACTTTTTTGACAATAATCCAAAATTTGAACTTGTATTTTTTCCATAATGTGTACCTTATTTTATTTTATTTTTTTAACGAAAATGAAACATGAAAAAATAAGGTAAAGTGAGAAAAGATAAGAAAGATAAAAAGGGTACTTTGTGTAGATTGTCCAACTACATGTTGACATAGTAGGTTAACTTGTCATCCTCTTCATTCAATCAATGTTAATTCAATAATTGTGCAAACACATCAATGCATGCACACAAAAAATTACACTTGATGCAAAAATTAATGCAAATTTGACTCATCACCTATAAATTGGTACAAATCCCTCTTAAATTAATATTTTTCATCTCTTACGAATAGGCATGTGTGGTATTAAATATTAAACATGTTTATTTATTATTTTAAAATTTATTTGTTATAAAAAAAATATTATTTTTATCTATACTATAAAAATTAATAAAAAAAATTAAAATGATAATTTTCGAACTTAGATTAATCCAACTTAATTAACTCAACATTCCACTTAACGCCACTCATCTTGATATTACTAATGTAACTCATTTCCTCTAACTTGACTCTCTCAACTTAATCTAATTTAAACCAGCTTAAACTAATATAACTTAATAACGTGAATCAACCGCTCTTAATAATAAAATGTGAGTTGAACTCGAAATTTTAACCTGTTGATCTACATAACTTTTTTTCATATTTTAAAATTAAACTAATTATATCTTAAAAATTAATTTATTCAGTTCATTAATTATATATTTAATTAAGATCTTCTAAATTAACATTCATCACTACACTAAATAACTATTTAATTAAAATTGTATTGTTAATTTACTAATATAAAAAGGAGATTTATATATGAGAATGTAAAAGAGTAACAGGTAATAATGATATATATATATATATATATATATATATATATATATTAATCAAATTAATCTTTAATTTTAGATTAATAATTTGATATAAAATTAATATATATATATATATTATATAATAAAAAGTATTTTATTTTATAAAAATAAAATTACTAATTTATAAAACAGAATAATGCATAAGTCTTCATTGATTTTACGTTAGTATATTATAAATAGTGACAAAATTATGGATATGTCATGATGACTCCTAAATTTTGTATTCTTTTTTTAATATAGTATATAAAATTATTATGAGAAATTTTTTTAAAATGGTTACTTGTCCCTCTTAAATTTTAGAGTTATCTAAAAAACCTCAAATTTAAAATAGTTTAATTCAATTTAATCTATAATATTTTTTATTAATTTATCAATTTTGTGAATTTTTTATATTGATCGATCAGGTTAAATCCAGTTAACAATCCTAAAATTTTAGTATTTTCATTATTATAATGACATTAGAGGCAAATTTTAGGATTAATGGATTAATTTATTGTCAGAATAAATTATATGAGTTTATGATCCATAATTATGTAAAAATTAAAATTAAATCAATCATTAAATTTCAACTTATAGTTTATTCTGTTTTTTCCATACAAAAAAAAATGTTATATTATAATATTAATCATTTAAATTAAATTATGTTATAATTAGTCCAAACTTAAGGCAAATCAATATCTTTTTCATGTGAACAAATGTTTTTTAAAGTAAAATTTTTGCCTAAAAAGATTATCATGAGCTGGTTATAGCATATGATTTGGGGCATTTTAGTCCAATGAATTTTTCTTGTGTAAACTTGGCTCTATGCTATTTTTTATCCTCACCCATGTGAATTAGGATCTAAGTCCTGCAAACTTGATGAATCCAATCTTAATTGTTCTCCTTCATTGCTTCAGAAATCATTATCAATCATCCACAAGAAATACAATCGACATTCATAAAATGGTTGGTTCAAGCTTGAAATTGTTGAGAGCCAACGACAGATTGTCATGCTCCTACACCTAATTGTTAAACAATGCTGGTTCAAAATTCTCAGAACCAGTACTCCATATGGTACATCGGATCTGGTAAACAACAATAAAAAAGGGAAAAACGTTAACAAATGTTGAAAACAGCTGTTTAGACCACTTAAGTGTTGTAAATTAAGGAGTATTGCAAAACAGTGCACACGTTACAGAAGACTGTTTCAAAGCACACGTTGCAGAAGACCGTTTCAGAGAACGTTTTGGAGAACGTTACGGGAAACGTTACAGACCCACTACCAAGTCTTCCATAACTGTTACAGACTTTCTCTTATAAATAGAGACCACTTCACACTCTTCAGAACACACCTCTCTCATCTTCTCTTCTCTGATCTTCTTTCTGTGTTCCTGGGTTAATTTACTCTTTTGAGAGTTTCTTGCTAGTTTCTGAGATCCTCGGATATTCCGAGAAGTTCCTATTGTATCCTGGGGACTTGCGCAATACACCGCGGATAAGTCCTTAAGGGCAGTGGTTATACACGCCTCAGGAATAAAGTTTGTTCGTGTCTCTGTCAGCTTTTACAACAATCTTAAGGACTTATGGCTGACAGTACGAACATCAACAACTTCCTTCAACAGTAATATTGGATAGTGAAAGAAAGAGAATTATGAAGTGCTCATGGATCAAGGTTAGTCTTCTGATTATGATTTATGTGTGTTATTACGTGAGAATCAGTTCATGTATGTTATTATATGATTATGATTCATGTATGTTATTATGTGAGAATCAATTCATGTATGTTATTATATGATTATGATTCATGTATGCTATTACGTGAGAATAAAGAATCTAAACGTGAAGAGTAGTTTTATAAAAATAGTAACGTATAAAAACTACAAATTAAAATACATGTGGTATCAGAGCTATACTTATTAGATTTATGATTTTTCTCTTATGATAATTTTTAAATTATGCTTTTCCCAAAATTGAATAAAGGAATAAATCATAATCTATGTTTTAAGCTGCAATGAATTTCAAATTGAAATTAATTTCATAACCCTTGTGTGAATGACACTGTAATTCTTATTGAAATGTGAATGACCCTGTAATTGATTTAATTGAAAAAACAAATTACGTGATTGGGTTAACGGTGAATTATATAAAATTGATTACTGCATGTTATTATTATGATGAAAGAAAGGTAAAATTTTATATCAAATGCTATCAGCATACATCATGCAACTTGTCTATAGAGCAGACGTGTCAAACACAGGTTCCTTTTACGGATTTATTACACCAATATAACAGAGAAAATGAAAAATGCATTATGCATAATTATTTTATGTTATGAGAGAAAATATGCAAAATTATTATATGCTATGAGAGATTTTCTTTGTGAATAATTAGCAATTACATGTATACAATGTATGACTTAGCTCTACATATTATTTTGTACATACGTATACGTATAAGTAGAATATTATTTTGTCCCCATAATATTTTGTACATACTTATAAGAAAGGGTTGAGACTGTATGAAATCAGTGGATCTAACCCCACTTTACGTTCAAGAAAGAAAATTATTATTTTTGTGGAAAGCTATGTCATCATGCACCTCAGTGCAGATGTAGAATGAGAAACGATAATCCTCCTAAGGAAAATCCGAGGGAGAAGAAATAATTATTGCGGTCGTTTCTCAAATAAACCTTGTGACAAATGTGAGCAAATGAGTGGTAGACTCTGGTGCTACCAGGCACATCTGTGCAAACAGAAGTGCTTTTACCTCCTACACTAGTGTGGGAATGGAGAAGAACATATTTATCTCGGTGATTCCAGGACAACTCCTGTCTTAGGAAAAGGAAAAGTTCTTCTAAAACTCACATTTGGAAAGACTCTGGTCTTGAATGATGTGCTACATGTGTCATTAATCAGAGCTAATCTAATCTCTGTAGCACTATTGGAAAAGTTGGGGTTAAAGTGTCATTCGAATCTGATAAGATTGTTATGACAAAAAATAATGTATTTGTAAGAAAGAGATAGTGTGACCAAAGCCCTTGGTTGTTAATGAATGTTATTCTTCTGCTTATAATATTGATTCATATGATCTGTGACATTTATAGATGATTACTCTAGATAAACCAAAGTATACTTAATCAAGAACTCTAGTGCACCAAATAATCTCTAAGAGAAGATACACTTACAGTGTTTTTTAAACTGGTAAAACTCTCTACGAGTTATGAAGATGTTATAAATTTAATCTTAAATATTTAAGAGTGTGGGGGTGCTAGCCAAGGTAATGTTACCCAATCATAAGAAAAGGAAAATAGGTTCTAAAACTTCTGATTGCATGTTCTTAGGCTATGCAGAACATAGTGCTGCCTATAGGTTTCTTGTCCTCAAAAGTGATGTAATTGAGCATAATACTATAGTAGAGACAAAAAATGTTGAGTTATTTGAACATATTTTTCCTCTAAAGGTTAGTGAGATACCTAAACAATCTATAGAAATTAATAGTGATAAAATATATGAGAATTTGAGGAGAAGTAAAAGACAGAGGAAGGAAACCTCCTTTGGAGATGATTTCTACACTTATCTAGCTGAAAATGATCCAATGAGTTTTTAGAGGCTACTAGGGCTCCTGATGCAATACATTGGGATAAGGCCATTAAGACTGAAATTGATTCAATTAAGAAAAATAATACTTGGACTTTGGTAGATTTGTCTAAAGGAACAAAACCTATTGGTTGTAAGTGGATATTTAAGAAAAAGTATCATTCTGATGGATCCATAGATAAATATAAGGCAAGATTAGTAGCAAAGGGTTTTTCTCAAAAATCCAACATTGATTATTTTGACACCTTTGCCCCTGTGACTAGGATTTCCTCTATTCGAGTTTTGTTAGCTCTAGCAGCTATCCATAAACTAGTTATACACCAAATGGATGTTAAGACAACCTTTTTGAATGGTGAATTAGAGGAGGAAATTTATATGACTCAACCTGAAGGGTGTGTTGTTCCAGGTCAAGAGAACAAAGTGTGCAGACTTTTAAAATCTTTATATGGATTAAAACAAACACCAAAACAATGGCATGAAAAACTTGATAGTGTTCTACTTTGTAATGGTTTTTCAACTAATGATGTTAATAAATGTGTGTACTCTAACTTTGAGAGTGGTAAATGTGTCATTATATGTTTATATGTAGATGATATGCTAATATTTGGTACATGCATTGACATTGTCTCTAGAACTAAGTTGTTTCTGGGATCTAAATTTGAAATGAAAGATATGGGTGAAACCAATGTGATTTTGGGTGTTAAAATCATAAGGAAGGGCGATAGTATTTTTCTATCACAAGAACAATATATTGAGAAACTTCTTAGGAAGTTTGGGTGTTATAACGCCAAACCAGTGAATACCCCTTATGATGCTAACTCTAAATTAAAGAAAAATAGAGGAGACTCAATCTCTCAACCTCAGTATGCCCAGGTAATTGGGAGCTTACTGCATTTAATGAGTTTTTCGAGACTTGACTTTGCTTATGCAGTAGGTAGACTGAGTAGGTACACTCAATGTCCTAATCAAGAACATTGAAATGCACTTACAAGACCTATGAGATACTTAAGAGGTTCAATGGATTATGCCATTGAATATAGTGGATTTCCCGCTGTACTAGAAGGATACAGTGATGCTAACTGGATTTCTGATTCAGATGAGACAAAATCCACTAGTGGCTATGTATTCACACTCGGGGGTGGTGCGATTACATGGAAATCAGCCAGACAAACAATTATTGCAAGATCAACAATGGAATCTGAATTTGTTGCTCTCGAAATGGCTGGTAGTGAAGCTGAGTGGTTGAAAAACTTCTTAGTAAACATTCCATTAGGAATGAAACCGATCCTGTCTGTATCAATACACTGTGATTGTCAATCGGCAATAGCTATAGCAAAAAATGAGAACTACAATAAAAAAAACAGACAAATACAAGTTGAGACATAATTTAGTGAAGCAATCGCTAAAGAATGGAACAATCTCCATTGACTATGTGAAGTCGAATCGGAATCTAGCAGATCCTCCGACAAAACCCTTAGCGAGAAATATGATTTTAGAAACATCGAGGGGAATGGGCCTTAAGCAACTTGCAAACAAACAGGTGATGGTAACCCAACCTTTGTGATTGGAGATCCCATGAATAAGGTTCATATGGGTAAAAACAAGTCACTTGTTAGTTCTGCTAGCACTAAAATTGATTAAAATCAATTATGTCCATTCCTATGGTGTATATGTGAAAGTGCTAGATACTCGCATTATTGAGAGGTTAAACTTTGTAATTAAAATTCTATGTGGAGTACGAATTTTAGTCTAAAACAAAGTTTTTAAACGATTTCATATCCCTTAAGGGTGGTGTATGATTTGCGAGCATACGCTTGATGAAGTCACCTATATGAGTGTCGAGTGGGGCCGCTTGTATGAAATCTTTGCAAGATTTCTAGAGCACTCATGAATACGAGCACGCGCATGGCCTAGTAAGCGCAACACGACGATAACGAGCAAGAGTTGTGGGGGTGTATTGTGATTATTAAAGCCGCTAACACACATTAAGTGTTTTGGTTCATATAGCTTGCTACACCAACTACACTCGTGTGTTAAGTTTTTTAGTCTAAGACTGGTTCATATAGCTTGCTATACCGAGCTACGATGCATTACATCTTATATGAGACCCAGGATTTTCTTCTTTTATTTCTTTTATCCCCTTTTGTTTTGCAATATGTGGGGGATTGTTGTAAATTAAGGAGTATTGCAAAACAGTGCACACGTTACAGAAGACTGTTTCAAAGCACACGTTGTAGAAGACCGTTTCAGAGAACGTTTTGGAGAACGTTACGGGAAACGTTACAGACCCACTACCAAGTCTTCCATAACTGTTACAGACTTTCTCTTATAAATAGAGACCACTTCACACTCTTCAGAACACACCTCTCTCATCTTCTCTTCTCTGATCTTCTTTCTGTGTTCCTGGGTTAATTTACTCTTTTGAGAGTTTCTTGCTAGTTTCTGAGATCCTCGGATATTCCGAGAAGTTCCTGTTGTATCCTGGGGACTTGCACAATACACCGCGGATAAGTCCTTAAGGGCAGTGATTATACACGCCTCAGGAATAAAGTTTGCTAGTGTCTCTGTCAGCTTTTACAACATTAAGAATTTCAACAGAATGAAGTTTAGATCCTCGTTCATCAATTTCCCGAGGCAAGACAACGGCGAGTAATCAAATTCATGAAATCATAATCAAATCATAGTGTCTAATAATTTATGTGATCAAAACTTGAATGATTGGCCGAAACACTGGATTTCATATTCTTCCAATTTTTGATACCAATGCTTGTGACTCACGTGACTTCTAGCCGTTGGGTACGCATATACATGACCCCAATTGTTAAAGGTATCCAAAAGACAAGTACTATATAAACAAGTAAAACCCAGGTTTTGTATTAGTGCCATCACAAAATGGGGTTCCTCGTGCAACTTCTTGCGTTTATATTATTACCTTTGTTAGTGAGTATGAGTGCTGAGGAAATTAACTCATCACAGCCCTGTGATTTTCTAGCCTTATTCAACTTTGGTGACTCCAATTCAGATACTGGCTGCATGGCCGCAGCATTTTACCCTGAGATTTTGCCATATGGTCAAACTTTCTTCCACGAACCTGTTGGTAGAGCTTCTGATGGTCGTCTTATCATAGATTTCATTGGTAGTGTTGTTTTCTTTCACATCAATTTCTTTCATTTCATCTATATCTCAGTTTACTTCTTACCGTTGTTTCACACAACACAAGCTAATGAAAAACACTGCAATTATCAGTTTATTTCTTAATATGAGTACAAAGTGATACACAAAAGAAATATGAAAAATCATGTAATTTTATTGCGAGAAACGTTGAAGATAATGATTTGGCTCCATTCCATATCTATGATTGCAGCGCAGCATCTCGGTTTCCCATTCTTGAGTGCTTACATAAACTCAATTGGAACAAGTTATAGGCATGGCGCAAACTTTGCTGCAGGATCATCAACCATTAGGCGGCAAAATAGAACAGTCTTTGAGGGTGGTTCTCCTTTCACTTTTGAAATCCAGACTGAACAGTTCAACCAGTTTAAGCAACGCACGGGAAAGTTCTTCAATAAAGGTTTCTCCGAGATGTGATATATAATGTAACTTATTATCAATTTTGACAAAGTCATTTCATATTATAGTAATGAAATGTGACTGTGAAATGCAGCGAGGAAAAACTCCTTCAGAAGACACTTTCCAAGGCCAGAGGACTTTGCCAAGGCCATCTACACATTTGATATTGGGCAAAATGATATTGCTGCTGCTATTAACAGAGTGGGCACAGAAGATTCTCATGCAGTGATCTCAGATATTGTGGATTATTTTGGAAAACAAGTTCAAGTAAGTGATGGAAGTTGATGAGTTGTGTTTATTTTTATAATTTAATGGGCCAAGTGCCAGTTACTAATTTAAGAACGCTTATGCAATAATTTATGGCCAGGTCTATATCTTCATCATGTAATTTATTATATCCCATTTTTTTCTCTATGATCTGGATACATGATGATGTTATGATATATCATTTTAAGATATAGAGTTAAGTTAGATTGATATCACTCTCTAACATGATATCAGAGTCAAAATTATTCTTCTTCACGTGATATATTTCTTCATCAGTTAGCAGACTATTCATAAATGTTCTATTTCATGCTTTTTGTCATCCTTTTGAACATTACTTATAGAATTTGATTATTGTAGAAGTAACATTTCTTTTTCAGTATTTACATGAACTAGGAGCAAGGACATTTTGGATACATAACTCAGGCCCCATTGGTTGCTTGCCAGTGGCCATGCCCGTGCACAATGCCATGAACCAAACTCCGGAGGCTGGTTATGTTGATGAAAACGGCTGTGTGAATTATCAAAACGACATGGCCAGAGAGTTTAATAAAAAGCTCAAGAACATGGTGGTTAAACTAAGGGCACAGTTCTTAGATGCCTCTTTAGTTTATGTGGACATGTTCTCCGCTAAGTATGAACTAATCAATGATGCTAACAAAGAAGGTGACCCTCTGACACCATCATCAATATCTCTAAACAAGTTAGTGATCATATTAATATTAGAGAATATGTTATATGAAAAACTTGAATGTGAAATCATGGAACAGTTGATGCATCAAGAAAAGGAATAAGTGAGTGAGTTAATTAATCTTGAGATTCATGATGAATTGCAGGATTTGTGGACCCTTCAGAAATCTGCTGTGGGTATCATAAAGATGGTTACCACTTGTACTGTGGGAACAAGGCAATGATCAATGGTAAGGAAATTTTTGCTGGTTCTTGTGATGATCCTTCCAAGTTTATCAGTTGGGATGGAGTGCACTACACCGAAGCCGCAAATAGATGGATTGCCAATCGAATGCTCAATGGTTCCTTCTCAGATCCACCACTTCCCATTACACATTCGTGTAGTGCCCAGTGACTGATGATTTTATTACCATCTTTCTAAATGTAATGCAAAAGGTGTTTTTTTAGGCATAATATAACTCTTTTGCTTTTATGATGGACCATTTAGTCACTTTGGGCTATAATTTATTTGTTTACTCTTTTACCAAAAATATATATTGGATACAAATTTTAGACTTCATTATATAGTAAAAAATTCGCTTTAATTCGTTTTTTATTTTTAGAATGAATCAAAATAATAATTTTCCTCGGTGAAGTGCATAAAAAAAATAAAAAATAACAAACTTTTTTATCGTCGTTCAAATTAAAACAAATAGTTTCAATAGAAGACGGAAGAAAAAGTGAAGGGTGTAATACACTAAAATTGTTGAAAACTATTTATGGAATGATAATTGGCTTGTAAGCCTTTTATAAGAAATTAAAATAACCTTCACACTTTAGTAGTATGAGAATGTGGAATAAGTTTGAAAAACTCACTTAAAAGAACTATTAATCTTAAATGTTAGGATTTTAACAAAATGAATAAGAAGCAAACATAATCTAAACAGAATAAGAACAAAAAGTAAAAGAAAAAATAAAATACAAAAGAGAGAGCTCAATCATAAAAATACAAAAATGAAACCATTATAAACTACTAACAATAATTTTATATAAAAAATAACAACAGGTCTAATTTAACAAATTCATAGAAAATAATAACTACCGCACACAAATTATTCCACAACAATTAAAAAATTATAATAACAATTTTAAAATTATAATTTTTAATAAGATGATAATTATATTTATAATCATTATCGTATGTCAAACTTTATTCTCTATATTAAAAAACTTAAAATCTTTCAATACTCTTTTATTGTTATTCTTTACGCATAACATTAATGTTTACGAAAGTTTTCACATTCACACATAATATGTCTCTAGTAAAACATCCTTCAATTCATCCTCCACTTTTCACTCATTTAACAAAAGTTCTTTAAAGTAATTTGAATCGTCTTCTATTGTCATTCTTCGTAGTAGTGACGTTAAACATGTTTTAGACATTCATGACAAAGACCGCGGCAAGTCATGGGATGGCCTATAGATGTCACGGACACCTCCAAATTTTTCATTTCTTTATCAAAAATTATATATATATATATATATATATATATATATATATATATATATTTAAAAGTTTTTACTTAAAAAAAATGTCCCCCTTTACTTTTTATTTTTCCCTCCTAGGTGGTGAGACACTTTGTGAAAGAGAGAAAGAGGGAAAGGAGAAGGAGAAATATATCATTCCTTTTTATGATGACATTGAACATGTTAGAGACATTCATGATAAGAAAAAATAGATAAGAAAGAGAATAGTTCAATTGAGATGAAGAGAGGAAGAAAATAAAACTACAATAGAGGAAGACAGAAGAAAGAAAGAAGAAAAGAAAAGAAAAAATTGGGGTGTAGAGACAAAATGAATATAATAAATTAAGAAGTATAGTAATAGATACGACGACAATTATAATTAATAATCTTAAAATATTATTTTTTAGACATACAACAATATTTTATTTTATATGCATGATCATATGTTACATATGATAATAATTACACATACAACTGTAGTCATATATGACATACGATAATTATTATGAACTGTCATTAAAAATAGAAGTTAATTTTAAAATTGCACAAAGTGTTTTTCAACAATGATTCACATATAAACATCTTGAAAGAGGTCATTTATTATCTATTTTGTACTAGTGTAGAAAATCTCAAAATCCAATCAACTAAAAATAAAGTTATAGAAAAAAATATAGGCAACATAGTAAACAAATGTCAAATTTGCTAACCATACGAAATTAAAGCATTTATGAAAAAAAAACTAATTTATTAATAATGACAAGAAATTGATAAAAATCCAGAAAAACATGAAGTACTTTGAAGATGTAATAAAACTAAAAATAACAATAAAAAAGTATGTGTCATCACACATTTACTATCAATCAAAGTTATTAGACTTCTTTTATTATCTATGCATTGAATTCAGCCTCATAGTTCCTTTCAAATACTTGAAAAATATCTTGAGTGTTTTTATGTATCTATTGATCAAGCACACCATATATGAGACCTAGTCTTGTGGTAGTCAAATACATTAATCTTTCAAACCTACAAGTTTTTACTACTCTCATTGCTCTTCAAGCATATCGTCAATGTTAACACAAGTTCTAACATTCACACGTAGTATGTCTTTAATAAAACATTCTCTAATTCATCATTCATCTTTGACTTATCTAGCAAAATTTTCTTGACGTAAATTGAATCTCCTTCTTACTGAAATATTATCTTTCGTTATCGTCATCCCTAGTAGTGATGTTGAGCATTTTAGAGACATTCATAACAGATAAACACTTCATGAAAGAAATAAAAGAGGGATACGAGGGGGAGAAACATCTTTTCACTGTTGTTTTGTCTTGCGCGTGTTGGAGACATTCACGATGGAGAGAGATATTTTGCAAATGAGAGAAATAAGGAGAAAAGGGGAGAAAAGTTCAATTAGATGAAGAGAGCACTACTACATAATATATCTTTTATATTATCCTATTTACATCAAATGATAAAGAAATCGATGTTAAAAAAGACACGGTAACATTTTTGTAAATAAATTTAAATTTTAGATTGATTATAATTTTGACTATGTAAAAAATATTATTCACATCAACTTAAATTTAAACCGATTTAAATATAATGTTTACATCGATTAAATCTATAATGGATATAGAATATTGTTCGAGACAACATAACAATCCTTCTCATATGCATCACGTCGCATGTTATCATTAATATTTTATTAATAAATCCACCACTAATCACATCTTCCTTCCCCATTCACCAACACACTACCAATATTTTTTCTCACTTCACCAAATATGTTTCCATCCTCTTTCCAACACCAACATGTATCCCCTTACTTCCCACCAATACTAACATGACCCCTTCAACATGTGAAGATAACCCTCACCCACAACACTAAGAAAGGTATAACTAAATGTTTATTTTGGATTACTTGTATCGCATTATGAAGAGAAAGTTGGAGAAGGAAAAGGGATATGCAAAGTGCTAGATGTAAGACAAGAGATCTTTCACGAACTTATGACATCTTCTAAGAGAGAGTTGTACAGGGTGTCATCGTATTATAGATTTATATATCACTACCACAACCCAATTAAAATCTCTAGTGACTTTTTCATCTTTGTATGTATTGCAATTTGACTTTATTATTTTTATCTATCTTATGATTTGAATTTTCTATTTTAATCCTAGATTTGGAGATTTTTGTAATAGGAAAATTCTAAGTACTACATTGGTTCTAATCGACATAAAAAAATTTACAACAGTTCAAGTATAACCAATTTAAAAAGTCTTAATTTTCCTCTTATAAAATCTCATAAAAAGAAAATAGTGTTGGTCATTATACAGTAATGAAGGGAAAAGAGGAGAACAATAACGAAGGCGTAAAGAAGAAGGAAGAAGAGCTAGGGACATGAAAACAAAATGAATATAATGGACAAATTAAAAAGATTATTGAAACAAACGACAATAATTATAATAGAACGGTCATAAAAAGTTATTGTTTTACATAGACAACAATTCATTTTATATACATTATCACATATCACAACAACGATTACACATACTATTATGATTATACATGACATACAATCTCGACTATAAATAAAATATTATTAAAAGTTAAAATTAATTTCAAAATTATACATATTTTTAACAAAGATTCATATATAATTGTCATTAAAAGACATCTCTTTTATCTATTTTGTAAAGTGTAGGAAACTTTAATCCTATAAATCAAAAATAAAATTAATATATATATATATATAAATATAAAATAATAGACCAACTCTTCCTTATTTTTTAATATCTAACAATGTTGAATTGAATAATTAAAATATGTATATGCAAGTATTAAATATATATTATGAAGTTAAAATATATCATGATTAGGAGTAACAATAGTGTTTTGTGTCTAAATCCTTGACTTTATAGTGTAGGTAGATGTGTTTCCTTATCCTATTTAGAAGTAATAGCTTTTATGTCTTAACCCATGTTAAAAATAATACTTGTATTTTAGTAGTCTAGATTTAATAATTTAAGTAGATATACTTTCTTTTAATGATATTGATTGTTATATCGTCTTTGATTATAAACTTTCACCTTACCTTCACATAAACAACAAAAAATATTTTTTAGGTTGAACGATTTTCTTAGCATTTAAAGTATATAATTTTTTTAATTAATCCTTAAAATATTAATAAATTAATAAAATGTTTATTAAAGTAATTTTTATTTTTTATATTTGTTTTTCCATCTCAAATGATCCCTACGTATCATTATTAAATTATAATTTAATCTAAATTATATTTAAATGATAATGTAAAAACTTAAATTAGATTTTATAATGATAAATAGGAAGTTACCTAAATTAAAAGATGAATGTGAAAAAAATAATTTAAAACTTGATTTTAATTTATTTTAATTTTAGAATTAGATTGAAAATTGTTACACTTTTAACTATGAAATTAATATTTTTTAACCATTTATGAAATCCTTCTATATTCATCTTAATTACAGCGTTGAAAATTTATGCCGATTGAATGATATTTGACACTTTGACACGATTGGTCTTGTTTTTTTTTCCCACGACTTTCAGATAGTTTTTTCAAATTTTCTTTTTTTTTAATTCAAAAAGCTTGTAACTGTAAATTAGGCATTTGATAGAATTAATCTTAATATCTAAAGTACCTTGGTACTTAACCTATTTAGTCTCTTTAATAATTACAATTTTAAATCATTAAATTATCCATCTTGTTTATTTTCCTATACTTCTTTATTTCTTAATTAGCTGGTCGTGGGCTTGGTCTTAGTTTACAGATTTGGGCTTAATTATTATATTTTTTTCTTCATGCATCTTCTTATATATTATTTTTTACGCTCCCATCCAAAATATCCTTTTACTAATTTGGTTTAAAACTTAAAAGTTTCTTCTCTTCGGTTCTCTACCCCTTCATAACTCAATTTCATTTTGTCATGGTTCCAACTCTATTCAAGATTTTTTTTTCAACCTATACATCAAGAAATTGTTAATATTTTGTACCTATTACGTAACAAATTACACTAAAAAAATATAAAAAAATCTAAATTATTCAATCTAAAACTTTCTCGAACATAAAGATAAGTTTTAAAATAATCAATCTAAAATATATTTCTACAAAATACATTCTAAGTTGAATATTTTTAGAATATATTTTTAGATTGGCTATTATGAAAATCCATTTTGAATTGGTTATCATAAGAATGGATTCCAGATTTTATGTTATAGAATACATTTTTGGATTTATTGTTCCGAATTACATTCATAAACACTCACTCTAAAAATGCATTCTAGAATAATCAATCTATAATATATTTTCATATTGTCTCTTTCAAAAATATATATTTTCATATTGTCTCTTTCAAAAATTATATTTTTTAATATCCAATTCGAAATTTATTTTTAGAACCGTCACTCTAAAAATAAGTTCTAAAATTATAAAAACGACGAAGAGTAAGATAAGATTTATTTTAAGGCGAAGATACATGAAGAAACAGCCTCTTTTTTTTCTACTAGATATTTATATTGCTTTTGTATTTAATTCAATTTATATTTTGTTCTCTCTGTCTATAAATGAAAGGACCCCGAAGAACAGTTTAGGCAAATCTTTTTGGAATTCATAGAGAAGATTAAATTGGACTTTAAATTCGGAATACAAAATGGGCTTTTACCGAAACTGAGCAAAGATAAGAAGAAAACTTGGGCTAAGAAAAATGGCATTGAGTCCGAAACATTATATTATATACACAAATCTAGACCCAGTCGTTTTAAAGCTCAAGTGTATCTATATTTTTATATTGTTAATTTCTAAAAATTATTATTATTTGTTTATTTTTATTTTTAAATATAATTCACCTTTCTTTATCTACTTCTATATATGTTATCTGCTTTTTTTAATTATTTTCACATTTTTCTTCTCTCTCTTCTTTCTTTGAATACATAAATTATTTTTTTAATCTTATTTTATTCCTTTTTTTCTCTCTATTATCATATATTCTTTCTTCACATTTTATACAGAAACTTCAATCCACTTTATATATATATATATATATATATATAGAGAGAGAGAGAGAGAGAGAGAGAGAGAGAGAGATTATATTATACATTAAAACAATTTTAGTGTAAAAATTATGTCAAAGTTATTTCTTATTTTTCATATTTTCTAACATTTTCCTATTTATTGCTTTATTCAGTTATGATTATTAATATAAATAACGACAATTGTTCTAGGTTTTCTTATTACATCACATGTTTATTGTAAATCTTCATAAAACCTAAAAAAAAGATATAAACTATTAGCATTCAATCACATCAGCATGAATAATAATTTTTGTTAATCACCATTTATAATAAATTGTTTAACTAAGTTGGGTTGAATAAAGAAGTTCACACAGAACCATTAACATGTTGATATCTAGTACATATATAGTTCAGAATCGAATACACCATTTCAAATTTCACCACCAAAGATGCATTCATCACTTCTATGGCCATAGAAGAAACAAATGCACGTCAAAACAAAATCACATGAAGGCCAAAATTCCAGCTCTTGCTAGATTCAGCTTACCTTCATGATTTGAGAAAAAAAATGGCATCCGTAAGCTTCACATGATGACAACCAAAGCTTGGTGCACTGTATTTGCGGCATCCGGAAGAAGAAAAAACCACTGTAACTGAAGGATGAAAGAGAGAAAAAGGGTGCAATGGAATGAAACAACTTCTGGATTTGGTATCCAAAAGAACATCATAACCAGTCCATCCAATCAAGGATACTGTCTTGAGAACAAAAGTTCAAATTCTGAACACAAAATGAAACCACAAGATGTTAGGAAGTTGGAGAATTCTAAATAAAAAGTGGAGTCAGCAAGGGTAATAAGATGCTTACAGAAAAATCAAAATCTGGAGGAGTATCCAATTCCAGTGTATCCAGGACAGAAATTCCGCAAGATTCGTTATCATTTCTAGCCATTTGGTTATCAAAGAATGCTAAGTCAGAGAGATTGGTGGAGTCCAATTCAGAATCATTTAACCGAGCAGAAGAGTCTAAGATCTCCTTGCACAATAATATGTCGTCCAAGCCATCATATGCAGTGTGTTCCTCAGCCTGTGATTCGCCAGCTAACCAAGCAGAATTGTCTAGGTCCTGAATATCAGATAGTGGGGTATGTGATTCTCCAGGGATTGTCTTGGCATCCTAGTTCATGAAAAAAAAAAAGTAATCTTTTAGTAAGCCAAAGAACATAGATGGTAAAAGAAATAGTACAATTGTTGCATAAACTAATGTCCTGATTACTCATTAGAATTGGAACAAACTTCAGGGAAAATCAAGACACGTAAACCATTTTATGCTGCATTTGTCATAGGTAGAATATTATGTCTGATTACTCTTTTGCGTTTGATTTTTCTAGAAGATAATTGACCATAAAGTGAAATTAATAATCGTATTTAACCACATGCATCAAATATAGCTATTCACCTGGGCAGAAGACAGATGTACAGTTTCATCAATGTAATCATCACAATCAACAGATTTTCCTGCACGAGGTGGATTGGGGGAATTTGGTTTTGGAGTCCTTGGACCTGTTCTTGACATTATATTGTCAGTATCTTCAGGCATTGGATCGTCCTCATTTTCCTCAGTCTGCTTTTTTTGTTGATAAAAAATTTTGGAAACCACATATTCACCTTCCTTTTCATCTTCTTCAGACCCTAGATGGTACTGATGCATTACCCAGTTCGATTTATGGGGTTTGGACCCACTCTTAGATCTTACATAAAGAACCATGATTTTCTTATAGCCCTTGCAAATTCCATTTTCCATTATAGCTTTTGTCCTACCAGTCTTGTGCCAACGCACATGCTCCTCAGTCAAACCCTGTTGATGATGAATCTTTCGACGCTTTCTTTGACCCGAAGCATAAGCATTGATTGTTTTATGAAAGAAATGGACGTAACTCCCATCTTTCTTAGCACCTGAAGAAACAAAATAGAATTTGGCAATAGCCAGGACCTTTAGAGAGTCAATTATAAAGATAATCATGATTAGCAGCAGCAACTGATATTTTTGGCAATTATAGAATCCTGTCTTCAACCCCCCATCAGTGATGTATTAAAAATGGCTAATCAATTAACATGATTTGAATCTTGATTAGGATCAGGTCTAAAGGGGGAATTGAGATTTGATGAACTTAAACTTTCAAAATGATGGATTATATTATGCTCTATTTCCCCTTTTCAAACATCAATTTAAAAAAATGTATTGAATTCTAAGATGCAGAAAGGATTCTAATTACAATAATGTGCCATTCATGGCTCTGATCTATAATCCATTCACAAGTGGCATCTCTTGTCACTTACACAAGTAATAAAGTATTTGATCAGTGTTCCTTCCAGATATTTTTCTGGTATGACAGATGAGTTTATTTTACAATTCATTTACCAATCAACTATAATGGAAAGAATGTAAAATTTTATATATTTGAATAGAAAGCAAAAGGTCAGAGAATTCTCACCTGGAAGATTTTCCGGATGCGTGTAGCATATACCATGGTCTTCTTCCCGAGTTGGGATGAACTCATTGATAAACACATGTGGCTGTGTGTTTCCAACACCAAGTTTTCCTGCTAAATGTTCTAAGAGTTCTACATCAGAAGCATCAAACTTCACACCAAGAGGAAAGCCAGGCCACTCAGTAGAAACCTGCATGCAGAGAAATATTCCAAATGAAACATTTGATATCATTCAAACTATGCTAAAAAATTTCAAGCTGAATCCAGCAACAGAAGTAAAGTAAGTAAACGTTTTCACACGCACATTACACACTTGAATTAATTGTGTAGCACGACAGAAAAAAAAATGTAGGAGCATAAACATAATCAACTCAATAGTAACGTGAAGAGCAAAGATTGTTTCTAATACTGTAATTTTTGTGCATGTGTGAATTTGGGTAAGCTGTTGTGAATACAATTCTGAATTCTAACATACATACATCACTGTTATCAATACGATAGTAACAGTTTGGACATTCTCGATATGCACCACAATCCTTGATTTGATCAGCTGAAGATAGAGTAGTGCTTTTCACTTTCTTTGCAAATCCTCCAATGTCAATAAGCCAGCTCCTGTAGAAAAATTTAACAAATGTATTCTATGTCATTAGTTCATAACCAACAAACAAAAAATAGATGAAAAAATTTTAATATATAAATTGCATATAGTTAAAAAAAATGACTGATAGAAAATAAAAATCAATGTTCCAAACTACAAGCAATTAGCAAGCCCAAAAATGTTGTCTGTTGAGGAATCATATTAGTTATGAGACCATAAGCTATTACGCCCTCAACATTTCGTCAGAATCACTCACATAATTCTTGCACTGGAGGATAAATGAAACTTAAATTTCAAAGTTATTTACTTTAACAAAAGTGAATCAGCTTCTTTTCCTCATTAAAAGACAAAACACTCAGTTATTTAAGAATGTCAATTACATATTCTGAATACCAACCAAGGCCAAATCAAGAAAATCATGAAGAAGTGACAGAGTATGAGGGAATTGCGGGAACAGAACACAATGCATTGCTAGTGTTATGAGGGAAACAGCAAATAGACATGCAAAGGCTAGGTGCAAATGAATAGTGTTTTGTAGTACAACGACATTAAATAAAATCATTACTGTAAGAAACATTATTTTTTCCCACCCAAACAGTAATCAAAGATTAGCTTATATCTTTTGACATAATCAGGTAGAAATTCTGTTCCCTTATGCATGAAAGACATGATATTCAATAGAATGTGCATAGTCAGTTTCTCGTATAAAATGTACATTTCACTCTTGATGTTCCCTCTAAAAGAAATTGTTTTACCAAGAGGCTCATTTGAGAAGCAAAATGCCAAAAACAATAAATACAACAACAAAGCTCAAACTGTAACTTCTTTCACGGATTATCAATACAAACTGATTTCACTCATTGTCCATACTGAACACCACCCCTATATTTTCACTGACATAAGTATCTATGAAACCCAAGCAAGTAAGCCCCCACTGCTACTTCTGGACACGTTCACTACCTCAAATGGGTATATTTCAATCTTCCAAACGAATACCAAATTCACTATCCAGCATTTCCCACATTGCAAGAATGCCAGTAACCCCCGCCCCCCTAGACAATCCCACTTATAGTCAAACTAAGGCACCAAAAATATTATGAACCTCCATGCTAGCATGGGAAAATAGTTATAACAAGTTCCTCTTTGCCATTAAGTTTATTTCCAATTGTGTTTCTTTTATTTCCATTCTATTGCACAAAAACCACGCACCTCAACAAAAATGAAAGTTACAATACCCGCGCAAACAGTAATTTCAAACATGAAAAAAATAAAAATAAAAAAACCATCGACATTCATCATCAACCCCATAAAACCCAACAAAAAAAAAAAATCAAACCTTGTCACACCCCATAATACATAAAATCCCCTTTTTCCTCAAAACTCAACCATGTTCATGTTACACCCCCAACCCACAGAAGAAAAAGAAAAGGAAGAAGCTTTTGAAACGAAAACGCATCTCTCCAACTTCAAAGACGATATCTTTGTTGGCAGTGACGGGAATCACTAATTCTGAGCTCACCTAGCCATTGTATCGAAGAAGAACAAAAATAACACATCCAATAGTCAAGTTCAGCGTATTCGACTTCACAACGTTTTTGTTGTTCTTTCAGTCGGCAAAGCGAAAGCGACACTGTAAGTGAGCGGGAAATTCCAGTAAGGGGGTGTGTTGGAACTGGTATGGAAGAGCTGGTTGTCCGAACCTGTGCCACCTCCTGTGTGTTTGCCAAACGAGCCTGCGGTTTGGATGGGGCCCACTCTTGACCCAACGGATCCTCGGACCTGGTTCGGGTGTGAAACAGAAGGTGTAGCTTCGAAAAGCGAGTAATTGTCATTATGAACCTTGCTCATCAAGCTAAAGAGGGTAACGCTGTTAAGTATCTTCCGTTTTCTAACTTACTCTTCTCATTTGTTCACCATCCCATAAATATATTTAAAAGTTATTAGAATAATTCTTGATTGATAAGACTATTTAATTTTAAAAGTGATTAAAAAAATACATAATAACATTTTATATACTATATATTAATTTAGAAATTGAAAAATATTTAATTCAATTTTATAAAATCTGAATTATAATTATTTATGTATTATAATGTTATTATATTTTTAGTTAAAGTTTTTTTTATGTGGACTAATTGGAGTTAGTGGGTATTCATGGGATTGAGATTTACATGCTTTCGAAAATATTTATAAAGCATTGTTTGGTTGGAATGACTAAAAAAGCATAAATGGTAAGGATCATAGAAAATGAGTATATAAAGTGTCTTTCTCTTGCTTAAAAATTTAATTTATTTATTGTCAATGAAAACATTCATCCTTTTAAATTTATGAGTAAATATATGCTCAATATTCATTCTATAATATTAAATGCACTTAAGATTCATCTCTATATTAAAAATAAGATTGCAATCTTACTTTTTTATTTTATTTATATTTATAACCATAGGAAAATTATATATAAATATAATAATAAGTTAATAAATGTAGTCATATTTTTATAGTTATTAATTTATTTTTATCTTCAAATATTTGTATATTTTATGACACAATTTATAATATAGTAATAAACTAACTATCATGGTACTTTTAATATGTAATAAATTAATCTATTCCATATTTTGTTTACAATTTTTCTCATTTTTTTTATTTGAAATTTTAATGTTTATAATTTGTTAATTGAAAATTTTACCTAATATGTTATTTTAAATAAAATAAAGGAAATCAATATTATTTTTAAAAAATATAAAAAAAAAAGTGAGTATTAATTATTGAAAATATTAAAGAAAGAGAGTGATTTTAAAGATGAACCCTTACCACCTCACTCAAAATTTCCCAAAAGTTTTGAACCACTAAAATTTCACGTTTCAGTTTCAATCTTCGTCTCATCCTCAAACAGCAACGAAGTTCGTTAGGCTAGCAGAGCACTCCTCCTTAGAATTGGTCGTTCTACTTTTACTATGCTTCAGTGTATGTTCTCTGGGTAATGCTTCTGGATTCAAATAAACCATAGTCCTTATGTAATTCTTTGTTGTCAAAAACACTTCGCATTTCCATTTACTCAAACACTCTAAAAGCTAATTTCCAATTGATTATACTGTGGAGCTTAATTCAGTTCCTGATTGTTTGTTTCGAAATTGCTGAAACTCACCCTTATGCAATCAATGCTATATCGTGCTATTATTGTTGGTGATTCCCGTTGTTTATGTTATACATCTAGGAATTTGTGTTCTTCTCTAGGAATTAGACATTTTTCCCATAAAGAACTATGTGAAGAAGACCTTACCAGGTACGTGGACATTCTCACTGTGAAACTTGGCAAAGGAAGCAGTGAGGAAGAAACCCTTACCACCCTCTTGAATGATCAAGCTTTGGATGCCATACCCCTCTCCCAAAACCTTGTTCACCGGTTGCTCCAGCGATACAAGGATGATTGGAAGTCTGCTCTGGGGGTATTCAGATGGGCTGGTTCACGTTCGAGCTTTAGACATTCGCCGGAGTCATATGATATGATGGTAGATATATTGGGTAGAATGAAGGTTATGGAAAAGTTGAGGGATTTGTTAGAAGAAATGCGTGAGAGTGGTCTGGTCACTATGAATACTGTGGCTAAGGTAATGAGACGGTTTGTTGGGGCAGGGCAGTGGGTAGATGCAGTGAAGATATTTGATGACTTGCAATCCCTTGGGTTGGAGAAGAACATAGAATCCATGAACTTGTTGCTTGATACCTTGTGCAAAGAGAAATTTGTGGAGCAAGCTCGTGAAATTTTCTTGGAGCTGAAACAGTACATTGCTCCTAATGCTCACACGTTCAACATATTCATTCATGGATGGTGCAAAATCTGTCGTGTGGACGAGGCACATTGGACAATCGAAGAGATGAAAGGATATGGTTGTCGCCCTTGTGTTATAAGTTATTCCACTATCATTCAGTGTTACTGTCAAGAAGGGAATTTCAGCAGGGTGTATGAGCTTCTTGATGAAATGCATGCTCAAGGGTGCTCACCTAATGTGATAACTTATACTACCATCATGTGTGCACTGGCAAAGGCTCAAAAGATAGAGGAAGCTTTGAAAGTACCTGAGAGAATGAGGTCTTCTGGATGTAGGCCTGATACACTATTCTTCAATTCGTTCTTATATACATTGGGGAGAGCAGGTAGACTAGATGATGCTGCCTATGTATTCAGCGTGGAAATGCCAAAGGCTGGTGTTTCCCCAAATACATCCACCTATAATTCATTGATTTCTATGTTTTGTTATTATGCACAAGAAAAGAGAGCTTTTGAAATATTGAAGGAGATGGAAAATTCAGGGTATTGTAAGCCTGATGCTCAGACTTACCACCCACTGATCAAATCTTGCTTTAGAACTGGAAAAATAGATAGTGTGTTGAACGGTATATTAGATGACATGATTAATAAATATCATCTCAGTCTTGATCTTTCAACCTATACACTGCTAATTCACGGGCTTTGCAGAGAAGATAGATGCAATTGGGCGTTATCTCTCTTTGAGGAGATGATTGATCAAGATATAATTCCTAGACACAGAACTTGCCGATTGCTATTGGATGAAGTCAAGCAGAAAAATATGTATCAAGCTGTTGAGAAAATTGAGGATCTTATGAAAAAATTGTAAATGCGAGGAGTCTCATATTTGTGTGCCCAAAGTGCCTTGTTGTACATTACCTAAGCCATTCGATACAAAACCAGGATAACTAAGAAGAGAATGGCATGGAGATTTAGAATGGTATATCAAAGGCTCGAGTGCGCAGACATTTCTTATCTGCTTAGCCTTTTTATTGCTGCCATTCGATTAATATAAGTTTTTGAGATCCATGTTCCTCTTTGCTCCCATATTATGTATCATAGCCTCCACTTCTCAAAAGAATTTAAAGGTCATTGCTATCCCTTTGATTTCTCTTTACTTTGGCCATACTATCTTCCTTGGATTGCTCAATAATTTCTTCTTTGCAGGCATGACTGGTTTAATAGCTGCTGAGCTTTAGATTGAAATAGATCCTTGTCCACATGATCTTGAATTTTGGCTCCATTTATAACTCCTAAGTAGATGTAGGAATATCTTCACCAATATTACATTTTCTTGCAAAGCATATAAATAGAACATGAAGAGGCCAAGGTTTTAAAATCATATTCAGCTATATCATGAAAATTTTGGCTCAAAATGTGCATTGAAGAACCACGAAATAATTAACAAGGGACAGTGTGACTTTCAAATTATTTTTGAGAGGTGGAGTCTATGTTTATGGGAGCAAAAGTGAACATAGATAACTCGTTGGACATTCCCTTTATAGATGAAGATTTTTCTAATTGTCGTCAGTTCGAAGGATTTTAGAAGAGGAAGAAGGATAGGCGCAGGAAGATGATAAAGTAGAAGAGCAAAATGAAGAATGAGGGAGTTCTGTTTTTCATCTGTTTAGAATTTCGTTTGTTGTTGTTTTATTATTCTTTGTTAAATGGTGTACCTATTTCGACTTCATGTTTTGTTTTGGTCTCATCATGTAGAACTTATTTTTTTATCATTTTCAATCATTTCAAAGTGAGTTTTTATTGTTGCTTAACTTCCGTGGAATTATACTTTGTGGGGGATATTTTGTTTTAGTTGAAGTGGTTAGGATCCCATGTTAGAAATGAAAGGGCCTTTGTCAAATTGATCTTTAAAATTTCATGTTACACCCATTCGTAGAGGTGTTTGTTTTTAGTTGTCATGGTCATGGTAGTGTCAAGTTGTTTTGGAGCAGGAAATTCTGTAGGGTTATAGAAAAAGAGTTCAGTTCCATCCCATGATCTGTTGCTATTGTCTAAATATGAAGTTGATGATTCGGGATTTGTTGAATAAAATGTCAATTTCATCTGAAAAATAGTAGGTAAGCAAATATGAAGAGGCTCTGCTCTGCTGCCCTTGTTTGTTCAAATAACCAAGTGTTTGGACTATTGAAGAGCATGAGTAAGCCATAGAAGCTTAACCAGTTGAATTTGGGACAAAGTTAATGTCCATCAGCGCATCCCGGGACCCCAAATGCCAAATAATGAGAGCATGGTGGTGCTCTGTCTGTGGCCCTCATTTGTACAATTAACTAAATTGTTAGACTATTAAGGTGCATGAATAAGCCATAAAAGCTTAACCAATTTATAAATCGTAATAAAGGTAATGTCAATTATACATCTCAAGACCCCAAATAAAACAAACAATTAGAGATATAAATAGCTCCTAATCAATTTCATGCCAATTTCTCTTCTGTCATTACCCTCTAAAGCTGACAATTTGTTTCTGAAGGTGGTAAAATAATATCATTAGAGTTGCTTTTTGTGCTAAAAATATATCATTTATTCTTGAGAATATTTATACTCAATGTTTTGTCTAAAATTGATGCCACATGCTGCCTGAGTTGAGCTTTTGTTTTAGCGCATTGCATCAGTTCTTGAGATGAGTTGTACCCTGTATGTCCTTGTTCATCGGGTGTTTTTTATTCTTTTAGGGTAGTTAAATTTTTGGTTAATTCTCATAGAGTAGATGGGATAAAAAATTACTATGCTTAGAAGATAGCTTTTTGTTAATTATGTTGTGTTGGTCTGATGTCTTTAACGGTTTCATTTTTTTAAGTGGTGATAAATATTAGATAGGGTGTAAATGTTGTGAATTTAGTATTTTGTGGATTTACTTTTTGTCATTTTTCAAGCTCTTCCAAGAAGAAGAAAAAAATTGTTAAATATAGAAGAAATAGAGTTTGTAATTAATCTTTCTTGTGTATAAATCACACATAGGGTAATCTATTTATAGTAGAGAGATACAACTAAAAGAGTAACTGAAAATAACAAGATAAAAGTTAATAATATCTATCAATATCAAATAATATCTAACCAATATTTAACACTTTAAAATTGTTTGAGGGAAAAAAATTCTGATGCAGCATATGTTAAACCCCCTTCGAGAGTATGCAAACCCAAAAAAATCACAATTGATCACAAATCTTCATTCTTGTGTGTAACATTAGCCACTACCTTCAAGCCTGCCAAAAATTATTAAGAATTTGAGATTCACAAATATTTGTAGGTCTTTAACTTGAGACGGAATAAAAATCAAGCTAAACGTTCCTAATTATTTTTCAATTAAACATCTCCTTGGGTGAAAATTTCATGAATTTTATTATTTGAAGTTTAAAAGTTATATATATATATATATATATATATATATATATATATATATATATATATATAAGGAAGAAAGATTTATAAACTAATATTCTAAGTAGAAATAAAAAAGTTAAGTAATTTATAAGTGTGAGAGATTTATAAGCTAATATTTTAAGGTTTTTTTTAATATAATATTATATTCTTTTAGATGATTATATCCTAGTTCATTTTGTAAAAAAACAAAATTGTAATAGTCCCTTCAAAAATATCTAATTATGATATCAGAATTGATGGTTTATACAATGATATGAAATTGTAAGAAGGAATCACATTTGAGGAGTAAGAGATTGTCATAATTCAAATGTGAATTAAAATATTACGTTGAGTAAAAATGAAAAAAATTAAGTAAATTATAAATGAAAAAAATTCATCACTTAATACTTTAAAGTTTTTTCTTAAGATAATATTATATTTTCTTATATAATTGATTTGATTTGTGTTTTGTTTATAAGAATTTTTATCTTATTCCTAAAAATAATTAATAATTAATAATATGGTGTCATGACTAATTTGAAGTAGATATTTTAGGGAAAATATACAAATTATTTTTTATAAGGTATTAAGAATTAGATTTCAAAATCTACACTAAAAAAATATTTAATTTTATATTTTATTATTAAATTTTAGGGGAATTTTATTACTAAATTTTTAATTTTTATAATTTTTTTCATTTGAATTTTAAAATTATAAATTTTTATATATTTTTGTTAATTAAAAAGTCAATTCACTAATGTGATAAATAAATAAAGTGAAAAAGTGATAGTATGATCAATAAAAAATGTTGTGACCAATATTTTTATCATTTAAAACAAAACAAAACGACATTGTCCGAGGTGAAGGAACGACGAAAGTGTTATAATTTAATGGAACGACGTCATTTTGTCTTCTAATTTGGATGTGATGTTAAGAAAGAATATCATTTTCGATTTCATCTTGATTTGAGGTTAAATAAGTTAATTTTTTATAAGCAGGTTTAGGAAAGGGAGCATTATTCATTGTGATAATTTTTGTTTTATCTAATTTGTTGATAACAATATCTCATAACGTTGTCTTGAAATATATTTTTATGAATCTTGGGATAAATTTTTATTGTTTTTGCTTTTATTTATTATTTATAGTGATCATTTTTCACAATTTTTATAAAATATAATCTTTAAAATTTAATAAATTTTATATTTTAACTAACATATATTAAATTAAAATAATTTAAGTATAATTATTCAAAATAGTTGAGTCTAAAAGTGTTTATAGACGATAGTTTAGGGTATGTTGCTTATATCATATACAAAATCACTTAATGTTCTCATAATTATTAGAGGAAAGAAAAATGACAGTTTTTTATTAACTATATTAAAAAATGAAAGAATCATATAATTATATAAAAAAAAAGATAAAATATTATTAAAATTATTAGTAGTAACACAAGTATTTTATCATTTATATTGTATGTTTATACTTTTTACAAATATTTTTTTTGTTTAAATTTTCTTTTTATTCTTTTTACCTATATTTTATTTTTTAAAATATATAAATTATAATAATGATTTTTTTAAAACTACATTCTTCTACAAAAGTTTTTCTCAAAAAAAGGAATTATCTTTATATACGTTATAGATTATAAAGTCAAATAAGGTGTCTCGTGTGCACAAAGAGAAAATCTATGGCCACTTGACAATGATAGAAGCCGTGGAATTTGATTAGCGCGTGCTTACATTTACTCCTCTGATAGGGTTTCCTACCCACTATTTCTACAATTCGGCATCTTCTTCGCCCAAACTATAACTACTACCCATAAACCTTTTCTTCTTCAAATACCCCACAATTTTTCCATCAATGACTACCACTCTCAACTAATCAAACCAAACCTAAATTAATTTCCGATTCGCTTTGTCTACTAATTAATTCAATTCGGCGTATGAATCAAATGTCTTTAATCAGTTGGAAATAAGTTTGAAATGCATTCATAACTACGTATATGACCTGTTTGGGAAAATACTTTCCTACCTTTTAACATATTACCTTCTCTAAAAAATGTCATTTTTTTTTTCTTATTTTGTTGGCATGTAAAAATACTTCCCAATCAAATTGTGTGGAGCCAATTTAGATTATGTTATCCCAATTGATCAGGAAACAAAAATCTCATTGCTTATTGACATATAACATCTCTTCCGTTTGTGTACATGCTTTGAAATTCATATTGCTATTTGGCTTTACAAGGATAGAGTTAAAGATGTACATTATCATATTCAGTTCATTGACCTTCATGATGAGTTAAGCTTTCTCATTTGCTGCTATTGCAGGACTTGTCTTTCTCTTCCTCTCACTGAAGCTACGGCATGAAGCCAAGCTTGGAAGGCAGCACTGCATAGATTTAACTGTTTTTTCTCTAAGGGATAGATGATCATCATTCATTGTTCTCTCACTACTACATGCAGAGTTGCCTCCTGAGACATAGGGAGTGCTGTGGGCAGATTTAGGAAGAAGGTCATGTATAGTTGTTGGTTTCACTTCTTTCATTTCATTGTCCAAAGTGTTCTCAGCATCTTCACTTTGGTTTTCTCTCACACTTTCGCGAAAAAGCTCCAACAACTTTTTCTTTTGTGTTGTAGGAGATGGTTCTGGAGCAGAACCAGCCTCAGAAGAAGGGGTTTTATTGAGAAAAATGTGGTGCACTGGAGTGCTGCCACGAGATGGGGTAAAATCTGGATGAAAACAAAGAAATAAACAAGTCATTGAAGGGAGTGAGTGATGATAAAACATTGAAAAGAGAGAAACTATAACAATAGGAAAAAAATATCCACTAGTTCTAGTAAGAGTTCTATATTGTTCATAAAGGTGGCTTGATGAAAATGCTTATGCAGCTGAATAAATTATTGGGTGAGTTTGTTAAAGTCTTACCTACTCAAATTATTAACTATGTAAAGTTTCATTTCCTACTCTTGGTTAAGTAAATAATCAGGCCAATTAACAGATTAAGATACTAGTAAAAGACTGCAAAAGGAAAAGCATTAGGGTATCCTTACCACCCTTGACACTGTAGAAATCATCTTCACAGTCCGAGTCTAACCAGGCCTTTGAGTCAAAAAAAGATTCATCCTTTCCATCTGTACAGTATTAAAAAATAAAGTTCAAAAATTGTGTTAGAAAACTGACATGAATATTACCAAAAATACAAACAGTAATAAAATAAAGTGTTATGGAGTATGAATTGTTAACATGGATTCATTGAATGAACTAATGAAGCAATAACAAAATAATTTAAATCGACCAAATGATAAGTTGGCTTCTTGATTCTGGAATGTTACAAGATGGAAGAGAAACAAACTCTTACTCATCATCACTTCATCTATGGACAAGTATTTAATAATAAGGACAATGTAGTCATTTAAGTCCCTTTGTTGGAGGGGGATCCATGTTATTGTTGACAGAACTTTCCACGTTAGTTATAATCTTCCATCACAATCACAACACGCAGACTCAAGCACATGATCCAATTCAAGGCTGCATATGGGACTCATTTATTGCAGAAACAGTAGAGTCTACTTTCAGTTCTAGTGTGTTAAGAATACCCTACTCAACATAAAACAAAATATAGTAGTTCAAGAGCAATAATTGTTAGAACAGATCAGAAAAGGTGGATTCCAATGTTTGGACATTTCTCATATTTTCCTACAATAACAGTTACAATGAACTATACCAAACAATATCATCTTAATCTGTTACTAAATAGCAAATTTTCTTTCACCCAATTTCAAGAACTAGTTCTACAATTCTTCCTCAATAGTAACCCTCATAAGACCAGCTTGTTGTGGTCCATAACTTGAAGTTGACCGCAAATATGTAAAATATTGAGTGAAAATACTCATTCATAGATAGAGGAACAGCCATCGGAGTGAACCTAAACTACTGGTCCCCAATAGGATAGAAGCTCCAAAAGGCAGGGACCATGATCGCTTATAAGCATTACCAGAATATCGTAATTGACATTAACCTAAAATCACAAGTAGCAATCAAAGCATGTCAGGAAATCCGCCAACACTTTGTCACAGAAATAACCATGGTGCGTGATGTTCATATACTATCTGTGTCATAAACACACAGTTCAATGCAAATATTGTTAGTGAATGGTAGATATAGTAAGAGTTAGGAGTTAGGACACATGGAGTTTATGCCTCCCCAAACACCTAGAACAAAGAAAGTGCTGGATTAGTAAAACAGGATCTTCAAGGGCACTCAGGGCTTTTTGCCATATTTCAAAGCAAATAATTTGTATAATGGATTCCTTGCTTAAAAATTACATAAAAATTACCATCATTTGACTTGTGAAGAAAAGATATGGAAGTAAGGACGAAGAATTCCCTATTTCTAAAAACAAACTAAAGAACAAAACATTTTACACCAAATTAATCATGAGAAAGGATTAACAAATTGCTGATTCCAATACTAGTTATTTCAATTTCGACTACCACATACTCTATTATTCTCAGACAATAAATTCTTATTCAGAAAAATATACTACCTCCTCAGAGGCCAAATAGAGATAAAAAGATTCCATAGACTGCGTACCCAGAACTAGGATCCATCGTAGCATTCTTGTTCGTATGCAACAATAAAATAAAAAGACATCATGGAACTGAAGAAGCAAATTCAGCGTATTTTAAAACATAGATTCTATTAAAACGGTAGAAATATACTGTGATGTAAAAAAACAGACTAATTTTCTACAACAAATATTTAAATTAGAAAATCGGATCGAGATTGTGGAAGAAGAATCTAATTTAGACGAAAAAAAAAACAAAAAACCACTCCAGTCATGAACAAAATATCTATCAAAATACCATTTTTATACTGTAAATAATTCCTTGTCCATGTCACACGATCAAATTTCCGGAAATACAAAAAGCTCTTGTCATAGTAACTGCAATATATGAATAAAAAAAAGAGCAATTGCAATAAAAGTACAAATTTTATAACATACAAATAAATAAGGAAACCCAGATAAAAAATTTCGGTTCTAACAATTTATGTCAATAAAACAGCTTCTTAAAATAAACTTTATGCCATGATGATCATGATGATGGATGAAAAAAAAAATACGAACTTTTAATGATGATGCATGAAAATAGAAAGGTTTGAAGGAAGGAAGAACCCCAGAGGGACCCTACCATCATTCCCACAGTCCGTGACTGAGAAGGTGGTGGTTGACCGAGAGGGTGACCACTGACACTTCAAGGCAGCAGCATCAGCCTCAAAGCTCCTGTTTTGGGGATTGCCTTTGAAGGGTGATGGAGGAATCACGAGGTTTTCAGCTTTGGACTCAAACGAGAGCGTGAGGTGCTTCATGTTGGGTGGCTGGTTTCGGTGGACAGAAGAACACGAACCCATTTCACTGTTCAAGAGGAAGGAACTTGCAGCATATAAGAAGAGTTCATGGTGAGAGAAGAGTGGAGTGGAAGTGAGAGAGAGAAGAGAGGTGAAGAATGAGCAAAGTGGGGTGGGGTGGGGGAGAGAAGAAGAGAAGAGAAGTGAATGAATGAGTTTTGGCGTTATGGGCAAGGGTGAGTGCGATGGAAAAGAAGAAGAAATGCGTTGGTAAGAAAAGTAAAACGCCCAATATATGGAGAAGAAACCATGGATGTAAGTAAGAGGTGATTGGCCTTCAAAGGAAAGGGGTTGCATCACAAATAATATGCCAATTATATATATATATAAATATGTATAATTATGTGAAAAATATAAAAAATTTAGAAAAAAATTACACTCGACTTATGTCACATGTCTTATTGATCACTCTTACTTTTTATTGTAATTTTAATGAAGAAATCTTCACTTTTTATTTTATTTCATTTGATCAATAATAAATTGTGGCATGCACTTACACAGCTTATCATGTTTGTCTTTATATTTGTATTAAAATAATATGTAAAGATAATAATAAGTTAGTAACTTTATTCATAAAATTTATAACTTGCAATTACAAATTGAAATATAATTTTAAAATGATTACTAAAATATTTACAATTCTTAATGTATATCAATTTATTATTAGATGATAATGTAAAAAATTTATTCTTTCTAATATACAATAATTCAATTCTTCAATCTTTGCCAATATTTTTTACATTTTTTTTATTTCATTCAATAAATTGTGCCATACACAGCTTAGATTTATCTTTATATTTGTATTAAAACAATATGTAAACTGACAAAAAATAGTACAAGACAAAATGAATAAATCATCTTAATTTATCTTTAAAAAATAAAATTTAATTACAAATTAATCATTTGAAAATGAATAAAATAGTAAAAATGTGTTTTAGTATAAGACAATTTTTTACTAAGATTTTTGGTTGAACCATTAATTTGATTAAAAATGATTTTAAGTTTTTGGTGATCAACCTCACTTGTTAAACATTTTTTTATCATAATTTATTATTCTTGTAAGATTCACCGTATTTATATTGTTCTTATTTATTTCTTAATTTTGCTACAAATAAGTTTATATACATATTTTAATGTTTTACCTACGTGGATTTAGTGGTGGACTTATATTTATACTTATATATATATATATATATATATATATATATATATATATATATGTATGTATATTCTAATTTTATTAAAATTATTACTGAAATTTTTTATTTTATCCTTCTAATTTTATATATTTAAATTCACGTACGGCTGTTATAATAAATATATATAGTTAAAAGTGTACAAATATATTATTTAATTTAAAAAATAAATTGATCTTGTTAACTTAGGTATTATATCTTTCTTTTAGATTAAATTTTAGAAAATAAGAATTTTTGTTCATTTTGTCTCATCCATTTTTTATCTTATATCTTAATATATTTGTTTATATTTTGACATTGAATTTTTTTTTTACAATTATATTATATTTTAAATTTTTTTAGTTTTAATTTTTTACAATTTAAAATTAATATAATTATCAAAATATATTTTTTTATTCCTATGAGCTAGAAGTTTGTATAAAATTAAGTTATTAGTTTTAAGATTCCCTTCCCACCCTACCAAATCAGCGTTACTTCAGTACAAATTTCTTATAAAATATTATTTTTTAAATTTAAAATTTATTAAAAAATGGGATAAACACGCTTATGTTGTAAATGATGTAAGTGTTTGATTGGTAAAAGAATCAGTTAAAAAGTAAAATTTGCTTTTAATTTTTATTTTTTTATTAGATTACGATGAGACTTATTTTAATAGAACTTAATGATTTTGGAACCTCCATAGTCTAGTCTCATAGACATTTTAAAGATGGTATTCCTTAACCCATCCTAAAATAAATAGTTTTTTTTATATTGTTTTTAGTTATCATAAAAATAAAAAAGCGAATTGAAGTTATTTAATAAAATTATTGTAATTAACACAATAATAACAAAATTAAAACAAAACATTTGTGTAGAATTTATGTCAAACATTGACGAGTTAGTAAATAAGTATTTTAAAAAAATATATTATTCGAGATATATAAAAATACATAAACAAATTAATGATCTAAAAAATAATATAAGAGACTTAAATAATTGTTATATTGCATCTCTTTTGTCGTGGTATCTCATCTCATGAGTCATGAGTCATGACTGCTACAAGTGCCAATTATAGTTATTATTTTTTTTTTATTGTGTAGCATTTAATTCTTAGATGGGGCCATATGAATTGAAATTGACTAGATTGCAATTATACAATATTTTTAGCACCCTCTATTATTTTTCTCTATTTATGTTATATCTCTTTTCATCCTACTATTTATTATCTATGTATGTACCATTTTTCAAATTGAAAAGAAAAAAGGAAAAGTATATCATAAATTAAAAATATATTTGATTGTGTTGTGGAATTTAGCTTTGTTTCATAAGGAGAATGGGGTTGAGAAGAGAACAATAATTTTGGCACAAAGTTAGCAACTTTTTTTATTGGGGCAGCCACATCACATGCATTGCCACAGGAACAACTTTGTCCAACACGTTGAGTGTGAAAAGTAAGTTACGATCGAAAAAAGGTCCCAATTAGATTACCCTCATGTGGGAATAATGTGTTCAACTTTATAATTTATGCGTATAATCCCGATTCTAAATCAAATTCACATTTCTCTCTCCATCGTTCTCTTCTATTTGCGCCACTTTGAATCAATTCCACCACTTTGCATATGCGATTTCTGCTTAATTTATTCTCACCTTCTTCATTATACTTTTTTCGTACATTGCTTATATCACTAAATTTATAAGTTGCTTTTTCAGGAAGTTAAAATTTTTTTTCCATCCCATACGTAGAAAAATCCACATGATTTATGAAATATACAGAGTATTTATCGTATTTTTAGTTAATATATGATTTTTTAACTTATTCCTCAAGGTTTTTTTATTATATCTTTCATTTTATATAAAAAAATTAATGATCTAATGAATGATTTAATGTTAAATTGATACGAAGTGATTAAGTTGATTACTATTAATCGTTATTTTTTTTAATGATTAATAACAAATATAATTAAAAAAACTTCTTTTATTAGCAGAGCATATAATGAGAAATCACACGTTAACTAAAAATATAATATCACAATAATATATAAATAAGTAGGAAAATTCTTATTTTATTAAACAAATTTTACAATATTAAGTTACGATAATCTCTACAAATTTTCATTAAAGTTTGGAACTTTTTAAATTTTCTCAATGATTAAAAATCACACATTTTCATTGATAATAAAATACATCTATATATTTATATTTTAACATATTTATATAGGATTTTATTTCTTAATTTTGCATTAATAAAATATTTCAGGATTATTATATAAATATAGATTAAATTTAGTATTTTTTTTAGAATTATAATTAATAAAATTTCAATCTGACAATAAAAAAAATAGTGTTTAAATTTAAGAAAAATCAGTGGTTAGTGGTTGACAAATGCAAAATATAAAACTTACATGATAAAATCAAAATCAATCTGACAGAGACAAAGCAAAGTTATTTTTAGATTATATTAGATAAAAATGATAAATAAAATAAAATGGTTTTTCTTGGTAAATAAATAAAAAAAATTATTTATATCTGGTGGCCCCACCTTTTCACCATATTCTAGCAGAATTTACAGACTCTATTTGAGAAGACAAATGAAGTAAACACACGAATTGGAATAAACAAAGGTCAAATATATCATATCAACTTTTTATTTTGTGTTTCTTTTGTTATTGCTATCATATCAACTTTCCAATTTGATGTATAAGTTTTCAGCTTCGGAACGTGAGAAAAGAGGAGATATTTTTTCTTAAATAAGTTTGAGTTGAGTGACGATAAAGCTGAGAATGATGGAATTAAGTAACAATATTAACTAGCATTATTGGACCAACTTGGTGAATGAAAGATAAGGTTTATCGTATATTAAATTGTTTTATTTGAAAATAATTATTTTATTAATATTTAAAATTTAAACTAAGTTATTATTTCATCAAATTCAAGCTCAATTAAATATGTTTTATGATAAGTTACATATGTTCCTACGATATCCACATGACGCATATGTTTAACGTTTGTCGCTTTATTTTGTAAGAGTGTCATGAAATGTGATGTGTTAATATGGGTGAAAGATGCTTCCATTTTGGTATAAATAAAAAGTGTGTCTTTCACATTTAACACTTTTATCATTTCGTGTTCCATCTTTTTTTGCCATTTGCATTTCAAGGTTTTCTAGTATTGTTTTCTTCTATTTGTTCCATCTATTTTCTTATGAATGTTAGCTTGTCAATTTTTATGTGCCTCTTGTTAGATACAAACCTGTATATAAATCCCAACATCATGTTGAATGTTTTCATTTAGCATAAACAAGCCTTACAATTCATGTTAAGAAATATAGTAAGCATCAAATATTTCATTTTTCCTTTTTATGTTTAGTGCATTTGACATTCTATTTTTACGTTGTATTTGATAATTGCAAAACTTGTAGGTTTATTTTTTGTGTAGATAATATTTATAAAAAACAGAATCTATTAATAATGGAGTTTGTGCCAATAATATCATTCAACATTAATTTTATAGTGCATATAATATTGATTTTTAACTGTCGCTAAAATAATATCGTTGAATATTAAAAAAATTAATGCAATAAATAAATCGATGTTGAAAATACGAATATTTAATATTGATTCTAAAAGAAACTAATGTTAAATATACATATTTTGAGTATTATGTACAACTGTGTAAAAAGTTTTTTTTTTTAATATTTGTTGTTTAGTAATATTTTCCTCTTGTAAATACAATTTAATATAAAAATAAATATAAAAATTATCAAACAAATATAAAATAGTCTAAAATAATATATAATTTGAAATTTTAATAATTCATAAATAAATATTT